CTGAGGACTCAGTCCTACCTGTGCTGCTGACCACATGAAGCTAGGAGGAGATGAGACTGGAACCCCTGCACCCTATAGGACAGTGCTGTGCTCTGACATCACTGGTAAATACAGATAAGGAGGGCTCACAGAAAGGGTCACTAGGAGGACAGAGCCATCAGGCTATCTGCCCTGCTTTTTCTCTGCATGAGGGGACTGGCATGCAAACACCCAGCACCCTTTTTCTTCAGGGAACCAGTTGTTCCTGGCAGGATGGTGTCCGTGACTTTCTCAAGTGAAGAACCCTAAAACCAAACTTTGAAAATTTCATGCTAACAGAGGGAAATAGAAATGTAATGGTGGTACTCTGGTCTAGAGTCCTCCCTTTAATGTCCTTTGACACGGTGCTTCTTCCAGGTGGACATTCGCTTCCCACAGAGTGGAGCTCCAGACCCCAATTGTGTCACTGTGACAGGACTCCCGGAGAATGTGGAAGAAGCTATTGACCATATCCTCAACCTAGAGGAGGAATATGTGAGTCCTAAGCAGGCAGGGTCTTTGGGGGCCCGAGGCCCCGCCGTAATCCTGAGGTGACAACCAAATAAACCGTATGCTGCCAAATACGGGGGCAGGCGGGTGGGTGGGTGGCCCCTTGGTACCTGTCAAGGAGAAGGCTCCGCTGGCAGCTGTAGGCTGAGCAGCCCTACCTCCCTGTGCTGTGCAGCTGGCTGATGTGGTGGACAGTGAGGCGCTACAGGTTTACATGAAGCCCCCAGCACATGAAGAGTCCAAGGCACCATCCAAAGGCTTTGTGGTGCGAGATGCTCCATGGACCTCCAGCAACAGTGAGAAGGTCAGATGGCACTTCTCTTCTGCGTGTTATCCATGGGCCAAGTTGGTGGGCTAGCAGGTTATGGGGTGGGGTTACTTTGGAAGCTGTCAGTAAGAGCCACCTCTTACTAAAGTTGATTTCCCTCCCAACAGGCTCCTGATATGAGCAGCTCTGAAGAATTTCCCAGCTTTGGGGCTCAGGTGGCCCCCAAGACCCTCCCTTGGGGCCCCAAACGATAATGATCAAAAAGAAACCTTTCCAGCCTGCTGCCCAAACCCAACCACACAATGGTTTGTCCCAATCTGACCCAGCAGCTGGACCCTCGTAAATTGTTGATGCTCTTCCCCCTCCCGAGGTCTCGCAGCAAAGCCTGGTGGGCTGGCCTTGTACGGCTGCTTATCCAGGCCTGGTCAGCACCCATCAGGCTCAGGGTCTGCTCCTGATGCTGTGCTCTGGGACAGGCACACCACTGTGTGAAACACTAAGCAAGGTAATCGAGCATTTCGTGATCACAGACTCCAGCTTCCTGGTCCACCCAGCATGTAGTCAGCACTCTGACCTTCACACCAGAGCTCCGCAGCGGCTAGGAGTTGACTTCCTGTGTCATGACCTCAGGAAATAAATTTCCTTGACTTTATAAAAGCCAAAACGTTTGCCCTCTTCCTTTCCCACCTCCCTCCTGCCCACCACCTGTTGCCCAGACCTTCCTCTTTGTGGAAAGCAGTCAGCTTCCTTTAGCTGTCAAAATCTGCTTAGCACAGGCTTCAGGATAGGAGGAAGGCATGGTTTTGGATAGCAAGAGGTCAGATGTCCTGGTGATGGAGTGGGCCTAGAGGAAGAGGGTGGCCTGGGTCTTCAGCAAGGACTGATGGTGCCCACTTTGTGTTCTTGAAAGTATCAGGGGCTTCTACTGCAGCCTCAGCCTCATGGTCTGCCGTATGTACCCTAGAGGCACAGCTTCTGCCACCTTGTTTCCCTGTGGCTGTCACAGTGGGCTAGGGTAGCTTGAGACTTTGGGGACAAGGGGAGGTAGAGACTGGCTTCTCTTTGGTGATGGGGAGGGGGGTTCCCCCCTAAGTGACAGCTTGACTTTCCTACAACCTTTGGCCTCTTTGCCTGCCTCGCCCAGACACCTCGTGTTCAGTTGCCTTCTTTCTACCTCAGCCAGTGTGGTAGTACTCTCAAGTGTGGGTTAGTGCCACCCGCAAGGCTCTTCTCTTGATTTAGACATTTCTGGTGATTCTGGGCTTAACATTGAGTTGAGGAGGGTGGAGGCTAGTGCTTTCCCTCAGCCAGCATGAGTCAGGCTGGTCCAGAACAGGGTGCTCGTTCCCAGCCAGCCTGGCCATGTAGGCTCTGGTAAGCATAACCTGGATGCTTTATGCAGTCCTGAGGAACAGGCTTAAGGGGCAGGTATCATCAGTAGAGGTTGTCATTAAGCATAGATTAAACGGAAGGCAGAATGAAAACAAAAGACCCAGTGCAGGGAGCACTGCTAACTGAGGGAGGTGCAAGAGGTGATTTTTGGACCACTGACCTCTAGCTGGCTTAGCTGCAGGTCAACCCTCAGCAAGAAAAGTGGTCCCAAGCAGAAATGTCCCCGTCATGTTGTGGAGACTGAGGACAGGTCTCTTATCTCCAGGTCATCTGATCAACTAGCCACATGCCCTGTCCCGGATACTGGGTTTCTAGAAAAGCCAACCTGTGCCCATCTCATGGCCTTCCCTAGGAACTGTCACCGCTACTGTGACACCTTTCCCCCCAGTCTTTCACCTTCTGTTTAATAACTCAGGCTTGGCTACCAGTAGACTCTTAACTCCTAAGTGGATCCAGAATTGCTTTCCCAAGTCTAACTTGAGTTCCCTATGAATGAAGCAGTCCCACGTGTGCCCATTCATAGGAACGGTCCTGAGATGGGGAAGAACATCTTTGCTCAGTAGGCTGGCAGCTTAGCCAGGGGGGCAGACAGGGAAAGGGCTTCCCTGCCTTTCCCTGGAGCTGTCTCTTCTCCCATCTGCATGAGACTGGGGACACCTTGCTTCCCTCCTGCCCTTCCAGCCCCCTCTTCATCTTCATTGTCATCCTACAACATCCAGTCTCTTCCTTCCCCAGAAGGTAAAATTTAAATTATCACCACAGGATTTTGCACATCTCCATTTATTGCTGAGTGCCGTAGATGTACACCCTACCCTAAGCTGTTCAGGGTCTCACTCCTTTTCTGATTGTTAATAAAGACTATGAAATTGACTGTGCCCAGGTTGCCTCTGTGCAGTCTCCAAGCTGTTGAGGGGCCTAGGCAGGGGTGGGGAGTGTCTTTTCCTCCTTGTTGAATGTCTTCCATGTCCTATGTTTCCATAGCTACATCCATCCCTTGGCCTTAACTTTGGAATTTGGAGATTATATGCAAACATGTGTAAAGGCTCATGAATATGGATGACACTGGAATTTTATAAATTCTAAAATAAAACCCGAAACCAGATGCAGCGTGATGGGACTCATTTCATCCAGTGTATGCTCTCTCCTTGTGACTGGTAACTGTCCCTAATCCATGTTGTGATTCTCCAGCAATTCTTAGCACTGTTCTTTCCGGTGGGCTGTTCAGTGATGTCTCCGTGATGAAGCCTTGCTCCTGCAGCTTGACCCTGTCTCCCACCCCAGTCAATAGCTGCCCCAGAGCTGTAACTGAGCCAGCTCTGGGGAGATGAGCGTGGTCTTTACAAAACCTGCAACATCTGCGTGGTTTTGTGAGGTTTCCGTGGACATTGCTGTGACAGGCTCCTAGCACCCAGGCTGAGATTGGGTCTGGGGCCAGGTTTCTGATTGCAGGCTGTGGTGAGCTGAAAAGGAACGGGGTGGAGGCAAAGCAAGGGTAATTGAGTAGAAAAGGCTACTCCAGTCCCCGTGTGATCCTGTTAAAGGGGCTAAAGAAACAAGGGACCAGCATAGCAACTCTGTTGCTGAGAAGACTGATATCCAACATCACTATCTCAGGATATGCAGCCTGCAGCAAGGCGCACCTGCAGAATGGTTCCAAACCAAAACAGTGCCCCACAGTGGGTCTGCTTTCATGTCCCAGCAGCCAATACACTCCTATATTGTAGATAAGGCCCTGGTGTCCAGTGAAGGTCAGTGGGAGTCTATGGCTCACTCTTGGCCTACATGGTTAAGGCATATACCTAAGTGTAGGCTACCCTGTATTGCTTTCAGCAGTATGCCTACATGAACCTCCGTCAGGTAAAAGCAAGTGTTTTGTCTGTTTTGGCAAGTTTACTTTAATGTTTTCAAGACAGGCCAGGCAGTGGTGGTGCAAGCCTTCAATCCCAGCACTCAGGAGGCAGAGGCAAGCAGATTTCTGTGAGTTCGAGGCCAGCTTGGTCTACAGATATATATATCTGTAGATATATATATTTTTTTTTTCTACAGATATATATATATATATATATATATATATATATTTTTTTTTTTTTTTTCTCAAAGCCCACCCCTAGTTAAAACTTTTAGCAAGACACCAAACACTGGCACATGCCTGCAATCCCAGCACTCTGGGAGGCAGAGGCAGGCGGATCTCTGTGAGTTAGAGGGCAGCCTGGCCTACAAAGCAAGTCCAGGACAACAAAGGCTACAGAGAATCACTATCTAGAAACAAAAAACTTCTGGCAAGGCTATGCCAACTAAGTTTCCCCAAGTAGCATCACCAAATGAGGATGAAGTATTCAAATGCCAAAGCCTACAAGGGACCGCTCATTGGAACCACTACACTGCACAGGCTGACCCGAATTGAGTCCTTGGAACCCACAGGGGAAGGACGAACTGGCTCCATAAAGCTGTTCCTTGACTTCCATATATTAGCTTTGACACATTCCCACATTTACCTACGTAGAGATTACAGCAGCAAAAACAAGCAGTTTAAGTATATGTAGGTCATGTAATAAAGGCTTTACCTAGCAAATTCAGTTGTTGAACTGGCTAGTTTGCCCAGTGGCCATGCAACAGCTTCAATGTACAGCCTCAGTCCAAGAGTAAGCATAGCCAAGTCCGAGGCCAGTTAAGGAGAGGGTGGATGGCTGAGGGCATGGTTTGGAAAACAGTTTTCAAAGAGAGTGTGCATGCTTCAAACCCTCTTCTAAAACTGCATGTCTCTCTTGTTAGCAGTCCTAACAACCCTACAGAAATAAGCACAGATAAGCAGTTACTTTCAGACCTTTATTCTAGCATGGCTGAATGACAGAAGTGGAGGAAAGGCCCATATCCCATCATGAGTGGGCAGCCAAGTTAGGAAATGGCAGTTAACCATCAGTTAACCCAGCTAACAAGGCAACAGCTAACCCAGTTTGAGAAGCAATTGTATGTAAACACGGGGAAAAAAAAGGGTGGGGCAGGAGGGAATATGTCACATAAATCTTTTTGTTTCTGTTTCCACTATAAGGGTAAGGCTTTATCCACAGCCTTTCCCCTTTACTGCTTACTGTGTGCTGAGTCTGGCCCAGCACTAGAGTGCTACAGAGGCTCTTCATCTATCTGGGTAAAGAGGCCGAGATAGGAGAGAACTCATGAGATAGGCTTTGGGTGATTAGGTTTGAAAGAAGAGGTAAGGGGACGTCCTCCCATGGCCTAGGATGTGGTATCAGGTCTGAGAGCCATGGTAGTGTGCCTGAGTGCCTGGTAGTGACCATGTGAGGAAAGGTAGTTGGGGGTGGTTCTGGAGGGGTGATCTGACCCTACACTACCACAAGGAATGCTACAAAATAAATAAGCAGAGCCCTGAGAAGGCAGGGACCCCAGAGTCTTAACTTGCTCAATTGGCAGAAGGGTTATGCCTTGGGATAGGTTGGGAGCCATATGTGAAGCCACTTCCTTATCACTAGGAATCAGGAATACATACAGAAGACACCTAGCCCTTGGTTTAGGAACAGGAAAGTCATGGCGGAGGTGAAGGAAGGACAGATGCTCTCTAAGTACAACAGTCAGCAAAAATGAGAGCCACAGAAGCCAACATTTCAGACAGCCCTTTTGCTTTTGAGATATAGGGAGATGAATCATTGGCTCATGGAACTTTGGAATGGCAGTAAGGGATAGCCCCCTAAGGCTAACAGATGTATCTTTAAACACTGCTGCTCCGCTGGAGTCTTGGAACATCTTGCAGGGTTAGTGACAAAGCAGAATGTGTGAGCAGAGGACTGTGGCAGCCAAGGGTGGAGGACAAGTTGAGCTGGAGCCAGGAACAAAGCCATGGTCTCTAAGAACACATGGTACTGTAACCTGGAGCATCTTCAACAGTCTTCCAAGCAAGTGTGTCAGCCTCCGGTAATCCCTAATGTGACCTCAGAGAAGGATAGGAGGTCACCAGTGCTAAGACCCTAGGTTGGAGGGCCCAGACTGGGCTCTGAGCTTGGAGACTGGTCATCCTTCACTCCTGTTGCTCCAAGGAGAGCCTGTTTTGAAGAAAGTGAGTTGTCACATTGACTACAGAAGTGACTATAAAGCCCTTCACCCACTTGTGCTGCTAGGATTGACTAGGTGGAAATTGAGAGCCATGCTTAGCCATGTGACCTGAGTGTGGGGAACATGGCTGTGAGGCAAACAGGTTGGGCTTGGGTGCTCACCTCATTCTCAGCCAGTGCCTGTTTAGCTAAGTAGTATTCCCGCTTCACCTTGATCTCCACAGACTCTGGGACATCAGGAACCAGGAGATCCAGAAACCGGCCAATGGAGAACACCACGTGCTGGGGGATAGAAGCCCCATCCCCAACCCTTGTTAAAGCAAAAACCCAGACTAGCCTTCAGGGGACCAGGCAGGCTGCCCAGAGGGTTGGAACTGGAGTTAGCATGCAGGAGAGGAGAGGGACAGAGGCCTAGACCAGAGACCAGCCTTTCAGAGTTCCCCATGGCACCTTGCAATCTGCAAAACATTCAGTGGCTAGCCCATGAGCCAGGGACAGAAGCCAGCGAGGGTAAGACACATAGAATTTTGATTTGCTCAGGAAAAAGAGTGGGAGTTCTTCTGGTCACACTAACCCCTCCTACATCACAAGCCTAGGTTAGGCCAAGCAAGTCAGGGGCCAGGGAGGGGATGGGAGTTATTGGAAGAGCTTTCAGAAGACTTTGATACCTCAAACACGATGACAAAGGCCAGGCGAATGGCGAGGAGAGTCCAGTAAGTCGGGGAATAGTGTCCCTCCTCATCCCGGAAAGCCCGGTATCTGCAGGAGACACAAGACTCAGGGTAGCACCCTCGGGTTACACTAGCTGGCAAGTGGTCCATCTAGAATCAGCCTTTCCATTTCTTCTCCTCTGCATCTTTGGTGCCCTACATACTTGAGAGACCATCTTGAAAAAAAAAATCTACTAAAACCTACATCTGGGGGGAAAGGGCCTCGGGAGAGGAATGAGTCAATAGCACGAAAAGCAAATTCTGCAATCTAACACCAGCTCACCTGCAAGTACGGTTGTGCTCAGCGGTGAAGGTGGGTGGCGCGTGCGCCAGCGTAAAATTGAGGAAGCCGCGCAGGTCAGTGGCGCGAGTCCAGCGGTAGTAGGCACGCGGCAGGAAGTCAGAGGAGAAGGCCAGCAGGAAGGCCTGTGGGGCACAGGGTCAGCACAGGGTCAGCAGCACCACCACCCGGCCAGCACTGGGCCAGGGCACTTACATTGCTGATGACCGCGAGGTGTGTGAGGCCCGCTAGGATGTGAAACCAGATGCCGATGTCCTGGGCGCGCTCGGCCACGGGACGTCGGTACTCGCACACGAACTTGCGCGCGTCCAGGCGGATCTCCACCCAGTTGTTGAGCAGGGCAAAAAGCGGCGCCAGCGGGCAGGCGGCCACGAAGATGGTGACGAACCCAAACTGCAGCACTACAGAGTGGAGCTGGCTGGAGCTGGTGACCCTCTCCAACCACCCGGTGGCGGGATGGGGAAGGGACTCCCAGCTTGCACCCTAGGGCACCAGGCGATTGATTGATTTCACCCCGTTTCTTCCCCTCTGGTTGTATTCAATGCAAGGGCCACTGCCCACCACCCTGACTGGCCCTGGGAAACTGATGTGCACGCCTCTGATCTTTGTGCTGGATGGCCTTGGCCACCCAGTACACCTTAAGTCAGGGATTCTTAATGGCAGGAAGGAAAGCAAAACCTGCCTCTGGGTTTGTAACCATCTCCAGGAGTAGCAAGGGTCTTCGGTAAAATTGATAGGGAGGTCTTCAGTTTCAGGACATGAGGATACATAGTATCAACTTGCTCCCTGTAACCTGCCACAGTGTTAACCATGCTGCAACCGTTACTGGTTATGCTTTGGTTGCCAGTCAATTCAGTCATGTGTTCTGCTGAGGCAGTGTGCTAAGATTATGACTGCCAGATCTCCCTGGTGTTAGTCAGACAGAACCCTGCCCTCACAACTGCCACACCCCTCAAGCCACAGGTATAAGCTACCACTTGGCACTTTCACAACTGAGGAAACTGCTGGAGAAAATCAGTTCTCCAGGCTGACATGGCCCAGGTGTACCTACCCTCACATGGCAGAGTACCTTGGCTCTGCCCCTGGACGTGCTTTCCCTAATACACAGCCTCAGCACCCAGGCTTCCCCAAACCTTCCCACCCACCCTGGCTCTGTTGCTACCCCATCTCTTCCCTGCAGGCCTAACTCTCACTACCCATCCCCCTCCCCCAGTAGCCCGTTGCATTTCAGGGTAGGCCGGGGCAGAGTGGTTACAATGTGGGTCTTACCCATTTCAAGGTATTCATGAAACAGCCCCTCACAGGGCAGCAACTCATAGTCAGCCTCCCAACGTGCTGGGTGGGTCCCTATGCCAGCCTTCTTCCTCCTGCAGTACAATTTCTGCCAGCAGCCTTTCAGCTTTCTGCAGGTAGAAAGTATAGAGCAACATAGATGCTCCCACATCCAGCTGATAGCTGAGCTAGTCTGAGAGGACACTCAGCCAGGGTGGGCTGTTGCTCTCTGGGTCCAGGTTGGGCAAGGAGCTGTGGTTCAAACTCATCCAATGCCCTGAGCCCTCTATAGGACACACGCTATGGCTCTCTTCTCGTCCCCTGCTGTGTCTTCAAGAAATCCCGGAGCCTTTGGAGGTTGGAACCACAGCAAGGCTACAAAGGAGGCTACTGAGGGTGACAGCTAAGTCCTAGGAAAGTAGAGCGATGGGGCCAGGTATGTTGGCTTCATCATACTGGGGCCAGAGTTGTGATGGCTATATCACACTTGGGAGGTGTGTATCAGTCCTGTTGTATGTGGCTTTGACAGAGGTTGTGAAGTATCATGCACAGAGCATGTGTCATTTATCAGACTGTATGGGGCACAGGTGTCTGTTGGCTTCCTCACACTACCTACACCTGCTAGACACTGAGCTATGCTCTGTGTTCCCATTGAATGCCAGAGAAGTCAGGATGCATCCAGGGAGGGACTACTGTGGTTGTGGTGTCAGGGCCAACACTGCCTTTCTGGGATGGTAGTGGGGATCTGGGTTCGTGTGGCCTCAGGTAGGAGACTATCCCTGGGCAGACTTTGGAGAACTCCAGCCTGTGAGAGGGGCCACAGTTATAGCTAGTGGAACCTGAAACTGGCATGAATCTAGGGGTCAAGCCTGAGGGCCAGGGCCTCTCCTTGCTTATCCTTCTCATGCAAGTAGCGAGTGTGTGCTGGCCTTTGTGTGGCCTCCCCTGACAGAACTGTCCATGGGTGGTACGGGCTTCCCAACACCCGAGACACAACAACAGATGGGAGAGGAAGGTATTGTGGCGCTCTGCAATATGACACAGAAGTCCAGGGGTATGGCAGATCCTGCCTCCCCTTTATTCTCCCAACATTTAAGGACACGGTGGGGGACTCACGGGACAAGGACCTCCTGCACGTTGTTGATGACCTGCTTGCCCACCATGATGACCAGGAGTTCCTGTGCCAGCTCGATGAGACAGCCTCCAGCTGGACACTGCAGCAACACAACTCCAGGTTAGCCGCGGGAGGGACCAGGCACATAGTCACCTCACCTTCTCCACCTCAAAGAGGCATCTCTGCCCCCACCTCCCTACAGGACATGTGTGGAGTCCCTTGAGAATTACAGGGATCAGCCCTCTCCACATCACTTCAGTTATATATGGAACAACTACTGAGTGGCTGTAGTTTATGCCCTGTAGGATCTCAGCTGACTGTAGTCACAGGCTCCAAGGAAGACCTAAGACATGGGTCAGTGAAGAGTCAGACCCAGGGACCCATGTATGCCTTGCAAGGGCAGCACGACCACACTGTGGAACATCATCCTCACCAGGTGGGAAAACCTTACTTGAGCACTCAGCCAGTGCTGAGGGACCCAGCCATTCTTGAACCCACAGAGTCCTGAACAATAGTCAACACAAGAGCAAGTGGTAGCCCTTTCTCGCCTAAGCCAGTCTCAGCTGGCTATCTCACTAAGAGCTGAGAGCTACCTAATATGGCACACCAGCCACAGACAGGCAGTAAGCCTCCCAGTCAGCAACTGAACCAGGCGAATAAAAGTTACTTTTACAATCCTCTGCAAAGGTCACTGCATGTCTGAGCCAGGCTCTCCCAATCCCCAGATCCCAAAGGCAAGCAGAGCGCTTTAGGGCTCATGGAAGAGGGCAGCCATTGGAGAACCCCAGACAGTAAGGCTGTAGGGTACTGCCTCAGTGTCCTCACAGTCGGCAGGGACCTTGGCAGTGATGTGATTCGTAGGGTCTTCCTAAGGGCTCACACGCCTCTCACGTGTGTATTGACTTAGAGAAAGGCTAAGCCCTGTGGTGTGTGTATTCTCTAGACAGTGGTCCTAAATCAGGACCTCAGGCCAATGTGGTCAAGAGCCCTGGAGTCCTGGAAAGCAGCTGTAAGCTTTGTCTCTGGCTTAGACAATGGTGGAAGGTGGACAGGAAGAATGGCAGCAAACTAAGGCCTCTGTGGGTACAGAGGGAGCCTAGCCCCCAATCCCTGGCTCAGCACACTCACCTCCTCATTTCGGACTCCAAACAAGGTGTGGTAGTTGCCTGGGTATCCCACAAACCTGGCAGGATCCAAGTTGTGAGGCTGTGAAGGACTAGGTTCCGGTTGTCTCCCCCAACCCCTTTCCCACCCATGAGGCCTGAGCTGAGAGAGGCACAGACTTGACTCCTTGTCCCCTCCAAGCCCAGTGGAAATCATTCTTGCTCAGTGCTTTGCTCTGGCTACCTAGCTCCACCTGCTGCTGAGCACAGCAGACAGAGGGAGCAAAGCTGAGCTGCAAGACAGAAGTGGCACGTCCATCGGGAGGGTGGCCACCTACCTACCCTTGAAGAAGGCGATGTATACAGGTGAGGCATAGAAGTTGACAAACTGGAAGATGAACACCTTGAGGGTGAAGGCGTCCTCAAATGCGGTCTGTGTCCGGTGCATCTCTGTGCATATAGGGCTTTCACTCAGTCCCCAGGTATATCAGCCAGTGTCCAGTGCACTGCCCCTTCCCGTGAAACCACCCCACCATCCAGGGTTAGGAAGAAGTCATGTTGTCCAGATAGTTTAAAGAAATTCATTAAAGGAGGGGGGGGGTCAATGTATAGCAGTCCTAAGTCTCTGATTTCAAAATTATACTAAAACATGTTGATTAGAGTGGTGATAAATCTTGATTGTCTACCTGACTAGCCTGGAAGATGTGTAGGGTATTATTAAAGCACATCTATTGTCTGTCAGTGACGGTGTTCCTGGAATGTATTAGTTCAAGAGAACTCTAACCTCATCAATGGGTCCATCTCTTGATGGATTAATAATATGCTGGTAATATTATTGGGAGTTGGTGGCAGTTGAGGCCCACATGGAAAAGCAGGTATCCTTGGGGCTGTGTCTCACCTGACCCTTTCCTACATTCTCCTCCTTGCTTCCTGGGCACCATACCCTCCCTTCCATGAAGGACTGGCACCTCTAAAACTGTATCAGTAATAAATAATTCCCTTAAGTCATTTTTTTTCTGGTATTTTGGTCAGTTATAGCAAAAAAAAAAAAAGTAGCTAATACAATTAAGTATACGTAGGATAGTTGACAAAAAACTAAAACATTTGTACCCTCATCAAAATAGTGTGTACAGGGCCAGTGAGATGGTCCATGAATAAAGGTGCTTGCTGCCAAGCCTGATGACCATCTAAGGAACAATGTGAGCTCCACCCTCCGAGCTCACATGGAAGGAGAGAAATAACCCTCACATATTGTCCTCTGACTTCACACATGTGCCATGGCCCACAGGAGCCGTGACTCATGAGCTCACAAATACATACATTAAATAAATACTTTTTTAGAGTGTGTGCAAATAAGTTGGGGTATTGGGGGCATGTCTCAGGGACAAGGTAGTCTCCTGGTCAAGGCTGAACAAGGGCTGAGTTACAGTGCAAAAACTTGCCAAGGCCAATTTGGAAACATAAAAGGTCAATTAGAGGAAAAGGGGACCATAAGCCCCGCAAGTGTGGGGATGCCTATCCCAGCTCCAGCTTCATTCTCCCTGGAACAAGGCTACATATGCTTCCTTCCAGGTAAGAACTCCCCCAGCCCTTCCTGGAGAACTCTCCTAGGACTTTATTCCCTTCCCATCCATCGTCCTTGTACTCTGAGCTTGCTCCATCAGGGCCTTGGCCAGGGCTAGTATAGACAAGGCCATGCAGGATGGGTGGTTAGGCCCCTCAGCATTTGCTCTTAGGGAAAGTCAAAACAAAGACATAACAGAGATGGAAGCGCAGACACAGTGACATCTTGCTTCTGGGGTCAGGTACAGAGGTTGTACAGGCACTTGGTAAACATTTGGGGTTATAAATGTTTACATCTCAGCTTGTCACAGCTCAGCCACCACCCCTAGTCAACCTGACAGAGGCCTGAGCCCCTATTCTCGAGGGTCTGGTCTCACCCTGAGGACTGCACAAGCTTGAGGGATCTGGTGAGGGAGGTTAGAGAAGCAGGGGCCCCTGGCTGAATGTCTTCCTTTCCCGAAGGCCCTGCCAATGCCATTTTAAGGAGATCTCTGGTAGAAGCCCAGATGCCTCTTTTGGGAATAAGAATCCATGTTGGTCAGTGCTCACCCCATCTTGTCAGGACCTGAGCCAGGACCACATAGGCCTTGGAGAGGATGAGGATGAAGACAAGGTTCACCATTGACCCTGTGAAGCTGGCAATTCGTGGAGCCTGATAGAGAAGGGGTGATCAGAGCAGGCACCGAAGAACAGGTTGTCGGGCTGGGGAGGGGTTCAGCAGAGACTCACCCAGGCTGAGAGAAAGGTGTTGTCTGACTTGGACACAATTACAGCCATGACAGCCCGGTACAGGATGATAGACACAAGGCACATAATCACCACAGCCACCTGCAGGACCAGAGAGGTCCTGAGTTCCCTGCTGTGGCCTCAGCACCCACAGCCTCGGGTCATAGGCCCACACAGGCCTCTGGGTCCACAGCTGCTCCACTGGTTCTCCAGAGGGACTAGGAGGGAGGGCAGGATGCCAGGTAGTTACTGTATGTTTCTGTACACCCAGTGTTGGAGAACTTTCTCCCATTCACCTACCTTCTCACCTCCCTGATTTGGGACCCATGGTACCTGGGAAGGGCAGTGGTCCTTCTAAGTAGTCTTTGGCTAGCCAGTATCAAAGGGATTAGTGGGCCACCTGTTCATTTTCGGAATCCATTCCCTTGTTGAATGTGTGCCCTGGGCTACACACGGGGGAGCTCTTCTATAACCCCTCACGGTACATACTCATGCACACCCCTATGAGAACCCACAGCTTAGCTCTGGGCTCAGGCCCTTCCCTGAGGCACAGAGCACAGGGCCTTTTTGGAGGATGGTGAGGGGTTTTGGAGGAGATACCCCTGTAGCTCAGGAAGACAGAGACAGAGGATAAAAGTATGGCAGGAGCCCCGTACCATCATCAGGAGCACCACAGAGCCAGCCAGCATGCGGCGTACACGACACTTCTCAGGAAAGTAGGGCTCATCTTCACCAGTGATGGGATTCAGGGCTGTCATAGGGGCCATTGCAGCGAACTGGGGCCTAGGCCTCTCCTGAAAGGGAGCCATGCTCAGTGGGCAGTGATCCTTGCCGGACGCCACCCAGCCCAGCTCACTCACCTCAATGTCCTCATAGTCAGAGCAGTCCCAGCGGTAGGCCAATGTGGCGTTTTTCCGCTTCCAGTACTCCAGAAGCAGCACCGCCCACAGGGCCATGAACAAACTGAAGAAAACAGTGCCACCGTGGTCAAAGAGCCGCCCTGCCTGGAGGAGAGAAGGAACCCAGGTCTCCCAGGAACTGGCATCCTTTCACAAGTCAGAACCTCAGGGAGGGGGTTCTATACAGCAGCTGAAAGAACAGTTCCACCCAGTCTTGGGAATCTGTTTGTTTTGTTTTGTTTTGTTTTTTGAGATGGGGTTTCTCTGTATAGCCTTGGCTGTCCTGAACTCACTTTGTAGACCAAGTTGCCCTTGAACTCACAGAGATCCTCCTGCCTTTGCCTCCCTGAGTGCTGATATCACAGGTGTGCACCACTGCGCCCAGCTCTTTCCTTTTTTTTTTTTTTGGATTAAGAATACGATGGTGTTCATCAAAACCAGGCATGGTGATACACGCCTGTAATCCCAGTGCTTGGGGACTCAGAGGCAGGCAGATCTCTGTGAGTTCAAAGACAGCCTGGTCTACAAAGTAAGTCCAGTACAGCCAAGGCTACACACACACACACACAGAACCCCTGTCTTAAAAGACAAAAACAAACCCAACTCCTGAACCTCTTACCATTCCCAAAATTCTGGCATGTCAGGTGTACACTACCACCTTTGTTCACGTGGTACAAGATGGGGGTGGAGGGTGTTCAAATCCAGGGTCTCATGAATGCTAGATAAGAACTCTACCATTTAAGCCACATTGTCAAGTCCATTACTCAGTCTCCCTCACCTTGCCTCACTGGTGCCTGACTTGGATTCATCTGAGCTGAGCACATTGAGAGAAGAGTTTAGTTTTTTAGAGTCAGTGGAACTGGAGAATGCTGGGTAGACAGGAAGTATGGAGGCTTAGGGGGGGGCACTGTAGTGGATTGGATTGTAACTCTCAGAAGTTGTGTCCCTGGAACCCTTGATATAATATTGACATGATACAGCTGAAATACAGTCGCTATGGGCAGTAGTGAAACACGCCTTTAATCCCAGGAGACAGAGGCAAGTAGATCTCTGAGTTCAGGGATATCTTGGTATGGAGCAAGTTTCAGGTAAAGAAAAGCTTAGGTCCAGGTGTGGTGGTGCACACCTTTAATCCCACACAATGAAGGTAAAGTTAGATTGTAGAAGGAAGCACCCACATTTGAAAGTGATGTCTAATTGAGTGGCAGTCAAAGTGAGAATCAAAGATTTGACAGAATAGCTAAGCTATGCCCAGCTATCACAAGAACAGCACAAGAAAGAAAGGCTATTTAAGAGCAGTGTAGAAAGAGAGAGCAGACAGTTTTACCACAACAGTTGTACAGAGATAGGTTACAAACAAAGAACAAGCTAGACACAGGTGAAGACAGAATGAACCAGAGAAAGAGAAAGAGCCAGAAGATTAGAACATATTGCCAAAGTTAGTATGAGGCCAAGCTGAGTGATTCAGTCAGAAGCTGAGAGAAGCCAGTTTGCTTGAGTCTTTTTTTTTTTTTTTTTTCCAAGACAGGGTTTCTCTGTGTAGCCTTGGCTGTCCTGAACTCACTTTTATAGTGCAGGCTGGCCTTGAACTCACAGAGATCCACCTGCCTCTGCCTTTCAAGTACTGGGATTAAAGGGGTATGCTACCACCCCTGCCTGAGAGAAGCCAGTTTGAATCACTCAGTTTAGAGAAAAATTTGAGCCAGAACAGCTAAGTTGAACCAGCCAGTCAGAGCTCAGAAAGAACAAGAAAAAGTGAGCTTATTCAGCAATAAGTCTTAGAGGCTGAAAACATTCTAGGCTTAGGTTAGCTGACAGGGGCAATAAACTTCAGAGATGACAATTAAATCAGGAGAATAAAAGTTACTGTTACAGGGGTAAGGTTGGAGACAGGGTTTCTCTGTGTAAACTGTGGCTGTCCTGGAACTCACTCTGTGGACCAGGCTGGTTTCAAACTCAGAGATCCTTTGCTACCGAATACTGGGATTAAAGGCATGCGGGACCACCTCCTGGTCCTTTGAAGTAGGTAAAGATCTCCAGAGGAAAGTGCTGTAGATGGGAGATCACTACAAAGGCCATGGAGGCAGAAGCAGGAGGAACAGAAGAAGGCAGCCATAGACTAGAAATATCCAGGAGCCAGAGAGAGCAGCTCCAACAGCCAGTATCTAGCTTTGGCATTTGTAACTTCTAGAAATATTGTTGTAAGCCCTACTCCTTGACTTCACCCCATCACTGATCCTCTGCCAAAGGCAACACTTTTTCTGTAATTCTTTTGGGTTTATTTGTTTGTTTGTTTGAGAAAGGGTCTCATGTATCTCTAGCTGGTCTCGAACCTGCTATGTAACTGAGGGTGACCTTGAATTTCTGATTCTCTACCATATGTATGTATATATGTATGTGAGTGTCAGATCCCATGATTGACAGTAGTGAGCTGCCACGTGGGTGCTGGGAATTGAACCTGGATCCTCTGCAAGAGCAGCCAGCACTCTTATCTACTGAGATATCTCCAGCCTCAATTCTCTACTCTTAAGTGTCCATCTTAAGACATACCTGGGAGGATTACTGGGATAGATGCAAAGAAATTGTGAGTTCATCCTGAGCACCAAGGATAACAGATATGCATTGGGAAAGAAGCACACCCAGGGCCATGCTGGCTGAGCCACTGGTGGGCTGTACAGAGCCTGTGGCCCAGGTCTCCTAGGCTAGGAGGGACTCCTGCTCAGAAGTCTGCATTCTTGGTTCTGCAAGTATCTAAGAGCTTCAGGAGATGCCATGGCTAAAAGACCTGGGGGCAGGTTTCCAGTTTATCACTTGGTTAGTTGTTTGTGCTGCTTAGTTTTTGTTTGCTTGTTTTTTTTTGCCAACTTGACACAACCTAGGGTTATCTGGAAAAAAAAATCTTCAATTGAGAAAATATATCCATCAGATTGTCCTATAGGGAAGTCTGTGAGGTGTTTTCTTGATTAATGATTGATATGAGAAGGCCCAGTGGGCAGCGCCAACCCTGGGCAGGTGGTTCTGGGAGGTATCAGAAAGCAACTGTAGCCACATGTGGTGGTACAGGCCTTTAAGTCCCAGCACTTGGGAGGCAGAGGCAGGCGGATCTCAGTTCAAGGCCAGCCTAGTCTTCAGAGTAAGTTCCAGGACACAGAGAAACCCAAACAAAAAATAAAAGGGAGAGAGGGAGAGGGAGAGCAGGCTGAGCATGAGCCTGTGAACAAGCCAGGATGCAGTATTCCTCCATGCTTTCTGCTTCAGTTCCTGCCTCCAGGTTCCTGCCTTGAGTTCCTGTTCTTACTTTCCTTTATTATAGGCTGTAATCAGAACATGTAAACCAAATAAATCGTTTCTTCCCCAAGCTGCTTTTGGTCACAGTACGTTTGTTTTTGTTTTGTTTTTTTCAAGACAGGGTTTCTCTGTGTAGCCTTGGCTGTCCTGGACTCACTTTGTAGAGGCTGCCCTAACCTTGAACTCACAGAAATCTGCCTGCCTCTGCCTCTGCCTCCCAGAGTACTGGAATTACAGGCATGCACCACAGCGATGGGCTTGGTCATGGTGTTTTATGACAACAATAAAAAGAAACCAAGACAGCCATATCTAATACTAATAGCAGTAAGAGCTACTTTGTGACACTCTTGATAGTCATTTGTGAGACATATACCTGAATGTCAGGTTAGGGGCAACAGAGCTGACAGAGCTCACTGAGGGTTCTGCCTTCACAAGGCCAGGACCTATAGGAGCTGCCATCTCTTGATGCCCTGACCCCAGCTCTCTTACCATACCTGGGCCAGGGTGCAGGCACTGGAGAGCAGCCAAAAAGAACAGTCAGAGCAGAGTGGGCACATGTCAAAGCCATCCGAACTGTCGCACAGCTCCTGCCTGTGGGGCATGGATGTGGTTCCAGGAGCTGAAGGGCTGTACCCCCTTCCAAGTCAGTCCCACTCCTCACCTTCAACCACTGCTCTTCCAGTCCTAGAACTTCTGGTTACTGTTATATTTTTGAGATAGGGTCTCACGTATCCCAGGCTGGGTTTGAACTTGCTATGTAGCTGAGGATCCTTTGAATTTCCTCTTCTCCTGTCTCCATCTCCTAAGTTCTGGGATTGCAGGTGTGCAGCACCAGAGCTGGTGCTAGGGACTAAAGCCAAGGCCTCCCGCAAGCTAGGCAAGCACTCTGTCAATTGAGCTACATCTCCAACCCCATCAGCACGTCTTTAAAAAGCAGTAGGTTTTTGTTTTTTTTAATAAATTGGACAATAACAATGAAAGGTAATACTTTGGACTTTCAGATACACATTTAAGTAAAACACAAAGCCAGTCAGTCATTGTAGGAAAAGTCTGTGCTATTCTAAGGACAAAATGGGAGTGTCAGTACTAGCCTGGGGCATCTCTGTCCACCTGGGTCAGCCTGGGACATCTCTGTCCAGTCCACCTTCTAGATGTGTCCTCAGAAGAGCAGGCTGTGCTCATCACACACCTCCACCCCAGCTCCACATAGGGCCCAGTGGTTGGGAATCCCATAGCCACACACCCTCATGAGACACAGGAAGGCTTGGGAGTTGAGAGGGCACTTACGTTGGTACATCTGAGAACACCAGGAAACAGCCCACCAGGAACACCACTGTGCCCACCACTGCTGCAGGCAGGAGCCAACCAGTGTAAAACCCTGCAGAAGGGATGCCAAGAGTCCAGCTGTTGGAAATTGGGTGTGCACAGGGGGTGTATTAGCTTCCTGGGATAGTTCCAGTGGGAACCAGAATCTCCGGAAGGATACTGAGAGACTCAGGGGTCTCTCCTGGCCACTGCCCTTGACTCTGAGCATCTGCCCTCAACTCTGCACTCTCTCACCTTGTTGGCTAAGTACCAGTGGCCCCCTGACTCCATCCCACAGGGCCTTTTATCTCCTGATATTGTCCTCTAGCACTTACATACCTCCAGCCAACTGCTCACTGTGAATTTCTGAGAGGCACAGGATTCATGCAGTCCAAGCCCCAGTGAAGGTGTGGGTCATTCTGAACTCACCTGCACCCCCATCTCAATGGACCATATCCAGGTACCCTGAGGTACTCCACATCCACCAAGCATGCATCTGCCTATTTCCTGTGGGGTCAGCCCAGACCCCAGCCAGTGTCCTGGCCCCTACAGACCCTGTGAGGCCAGGAAGACACCTATAAAATGTTTCCTCTCTGGAGCCTAGATGAAGAGTCCTTCTCCCCCTACTCCACCCTGAAATCCTCCAGCATGGCCATACTGGACATCAGGAAAGGCAATCCCAGGATGAGGATGGAAGGTCAAGAGGCAGTGCCCAGGGAGGACAGATAGTCTCTGAAGGTGCCAGCCTGGCTGAGAAGAGAAGACTTGGAGTAGAGTTTGGGTGTATGGAAGCTAGCTGGGAGTCAAGAGGGACCTCACAAACTAAGAGGCTCCCAGTGTAGTGCCTAGTATCTGTTGTATCATTGGGGGAGTATGGCCTGATGGTAGAACTGTCCCAGAGGGCAGACTGTTATAACACAAGGACCAAGCAGCAAGACAAGACTCACCAAGCCAGGCGAAGTAGAGAGCCACCTTCTCACCGAAGTACTTGCGCACATGGTCCAGTGGCTGGTACTTGCTCCATTTGCCCCAGCGAGCCCAGTGCTGGAATAAGACTTGGCGCTGGGTGAGCCCGGGGACCTGTGAGCTCTCTGGGGTTGCAGAGAATGGGCCCTAGAATAAGAAGCCATTGGGGATTCTTATTGATGAGCTTAGATCTGCCGCCAGTCATCCCTCAGGACACACTTCTAGGTATGGGAACTTCAGCGCCAACTCAGACCCACAATTCCACCATCCAATGTAGGCAAACAACAAAGACCCCAAGGAGGAATGGGCCAAGAAGGGTCTCAAGGGAAATGCAGGTTGAGCTCCCTTTATCCCTGGGTCTGCTGAGTGTCCAGTGAAGGGATAAATCAGAAAGATCTGACCAGGACTGTAGCTGGGGTACAGGTTAACAAACAACTCTTTGGGGTCTTGGAGGCCTGCCATATATGCTATATGGTATCCGAGCCATGAGCCAATCCATGAGCACCCAAACTCAGCTGACAGGAAGAGCGATACCATTTCAAGACAAGTATCTGTGTGCGTGCGTGCGTGCGTGTGTGCGTGTGTGTGTGTGTGTGTGTGTGTGGTGTCGGGAGTGCCTGTAAGCAGGACTGTCCTCAGGGCCTCATGGGCTGCCTGACTCAAGACCTTTTGAAATTTTGCTCTGCAGGCCTCTCCTGTGTGGTGGAAGGCTGCAGAGATGCTGGGGCACGAACAATATCCTGACCTACCTATGGGCTACATCCGGGATGGTAATATGGGTGTCAGGGCACCACCAGGCAGCTGTTGTGGTAAATGTCTCTCTGCCACTGCCCCAGGCTGCCAAGCTTCTGGGTACAAAGAAGGGTGTCTTCTCTCTCTTCCCTATCTCACTATCTTCCCTAGGGAGAGACACTGCCTGAGGAACCCAGCCTTAGCACCTGGAGTGGGAGCCTAGTATATTTGCTGCCCCGCCCCCGCCAGCAGGGTCAGGAAGCCAAGCTGAACCTTCAGCCTCCAACACCCACTTCTTCACTTTACAAGGCTATGTATTTGATATTCCTGACACCAGGGTGACAGTCATGGAGGATGAGATTCCTTTGCTTCCTGTGGGTATGATGGACAGTAGCCCTGGGGGGTGGGGGAACTCACAGCCCACCCTAGTTCAACGCCCATCCCTGAGACTCACATCATGCAGGGGGAAGGCTGCGCTGAAGACACCCTCCGCCAGCAGCTGGTCAACCCCAAACAAGCCTTTCTTCTTGTGGCCATAGCGAGTCTTGGCCAAGATTTCAAACAGCTGCAGGATGGGTGGAAGATGGTACCCATCACAGGTCATGTGATGGCACAGCAGGGAGACCCAGCTTGGTCCGGAAACCTTGGATGACCTACAGTTCCCACTTACAGATAATGGTATTAATGGAGTGTCCCCAAGGTCATGAAACCCAGGTCCTGTGTCCTAACCACACGTTCATGACCACACTGGCAGGGTTAACAGTCATTCTCCAGTCTTACAAACTCAGCAGGCCTAGTTGGAACCTGGGCCTAGTCATGCATGGATGCCTGTGCCACTAGGCTCACCTTTGTTAGGATAACTGTCTTGGGTGGGAAACCTATGGCTTGGAGGCTACTGTTAGCAGCGCCCTGTCTAGACCCTGCCTGGCCACATGCTGTTGGAGCAGACCTCCCAGGTCAGCAGTTCTCAACCTTCCTAATGCTGCGACCCTTAATACAGTTCCTCATGGTGTGCTGATCCCCAACCACAGTTATTTTTGTTGCTACTTTGTAGCTGTAATTTTGCTACTGTTCTAAAATCATAATACAAATATCTATGGTTTCCAATGATCTTAGGCGACCTCTGTGAAAGGGTTGTGCGACCCCCACTCGTCAAACCTACAGGTTGAAAGCTGATGTACTAATGCCTCAGACCTGCCCCTGTAGCCTGGTTTTGACAGACTGGTTTAGGATATACTGAAACCTCTTCCTTGCCTGTTCTGGCCAGCCAGCAAGACCGCCTCACCTGTGCTTAGGACCGTGGTAGCCTAGATCCCACAAGTCCATAAACCTGGATTATGCTGGGCCCCAGGATTATAGAGGGGTACTGGATAGGGAGCTGGCTTTTTCTTGATCCAGGGTAGTCTGGACATGCCCTGCCCCCACTGTCCGGCCTCCAGGCCATATCCTCACTCTATGGAGCAAGATCAGGGTCATTCTCTAAGCCTTCAGCCCTCTTGGAGCTTTATGGTGGCCATGAAGACCTCAGGGTTGGTGGTTGGGATATGTCAGGCCTCTCTGAGCCTGGTCAGATTAGGGTATGCAGTGAACGCACTCCACTCACAATCTGGTGCCTTTTGGTGCTGGTGAAGAAGGTGTCCTGATTGTCACTCCCAAGGAACCTGCAGAGGTGAGAAAAGTTTAGAGGTTGGAGAGTCTGGGGATTTTTGCCACACAGAAGGCAAGATACAGGAGGAGACATGGTCTGAGTGCGTCTCATGGAAGTTTACGGGCTATGAAGTGTCAAAGTGGTGGGACCTGTAGGAGGGAGGCCAAGCCAAGCATGGTGGTGCACACCTTTAATCTCAGCGCTTGTGAGTTCAAGGCCAGCCTGGTCTACATATCCAGTTCCAAGACAGTTAAAGCTACATAGTGAGACTCAGATTTAGGGTTAGGGGCAGCCCAAGGCATGAGGTCATGTGGTGTCTGCTCTTAAAGGGAGCTAATTCTGATCTCAGGAAAGATTCAGTTATTGAAGGAAGAAGACAGCTTAGTCTGCTCTTCTGGGTCTAGCTAGCTCCCATTCTGTCTCTGTCTCACTGTGTTATGACTGCTATATCTAGCTAGGGGCTGACCAGCTGAGGCTACCAATCCTGGACTATCAGCCTCCTAACTTGCAAGCTGCATAAACCTCTTCTTTTCTTTTTTAAAGATTCATTTATTAGTATACAGAGTACTGCCTGACCACCAGAAGAGGGCACCAGATCTCATTATAGATGTTTGTGAGCCACCATGTGGTTGCTGGGAATTGAACTCAGGACCTCTGGAGGAGCAGCCCAGCTCTCTTAACCTCTGAGCCATCTCTCCAGCCCGAGCTTCTTCTTTTAAAGAACAGTTTGTTTCATACAGTGAGAGGGAAGAGTGGGTTGGAAGTAATTGCTCTATATCAGACCCCATTTCCTGTTTCTTCTTTGTGTGTGCATGTATGTTGAGTTTATAAGATGTCACATCCCACAGCACACGTGCAGAAGTCCCAGCACCAGGAGGCCTTGCTGAGGTGGGTGTCGACAGTTTCTGCTGCACATGTGCTCCAGGTTAGCTGGCTGTGAGCTCCAGTACAATTCTTCTGTCTTTTTCTCCATCTCACCATAGGGGTTTGGGGGTTGCAGATGAGCACCATCACATCTGGCTTTTTTGGTAGGTTCCAGGGATTGAACTCAGGCTTGTAAGACAAGTGTTTTGACCTGTTGAGCCATGTGCCCTGCTTCCAAACTTCTTTTCTCAACAGAATACCACCAATCTTTGGGTATTTTGTTATAGCAACAGAAATGTATCATGACTTGGGCCTTGTGTGTCCATTCCTAGAATCTGGGGCATGTTTGTCCCACAGCACAGCCACCCTAGCATGGCTAATGTGGGTCACTTACCAACACACAGCTAGCTGCTCAGTAGGCTTGTTCACCTGGGATTTAGATGGTATTCTCTGAAAATCCCAGGTGAGGAGAGCATTTGGGAAAAAGCATGATGTTTAGTTAATTCATTCACAGTCTCACACAACCATCCTAGTTCTTAGTGGGGGCTGGTCCCACAGGAGGGTGTTTAGTTAATTCATTCACAGTCTCACTCACACAACCACCCTAGTTCTTAGTGTCCTGCTGGGCTCAGCCGGGCTGCACTAGCATACCATTGCAGCTTGCTTGCTTTGAAGTGGCAGGAGTAGCACTCCGGGGGCGTGTCAGGCACTTCCTCCAGCAGGATATTGGGGATGCCCAGCCACTCCAGAAGAGTGGCTGACCAGTTGGAGGCCTGATTGGGTAGCTCCTGGAAAGAAAATTATTCAGAAGATCTTCACAGCTGGAAAAGAGAGTGAGCAAATCTGCAAACAGGATTGCAGTCGAAGAGTGAAGCACTGAGAACTAGCATCTCTTACTGATTGACCCTGCTGCAGATGCTCCCCACCTCGGGCCTCCGCCGTGGCCCCTCCCCTCCCTGGGGCCTCGGGCTCTGAGAGTCGCTCGGCCTGTTATGTGGAGGGCCAGAGCTGCTCATGCCGCTAGGGAATGAAAGAGAGTAGACAGTGTGCCCTGTCCCCCACACCACACAGGTGACCCGCTACGAGCAGTTCAAGTGAGTCATCCTGAGGGCTCCAAGAGCCCGCTGTCCTTCACCCTGAGCACACAAGGCTGGAGCTGCCTTAGCAGATGGCCCTGTAGGTTCTGATCCTGCAGGGAAGGCAGCCAGCTGATAGCCGTGGTTACCCTGTGTACTGCCAGGACCTCCCTGATTCCAGAGCCTGTCATGTTTCCTGCTCACCCAATGGGTGTTCTGAGACTCCATGTGACATTGGGTAGGAGGGAACTAAAGGTCCCCATCTCTAAGGAATGATGGTTTTGGACAGTAAGCCCAGCACATAGGTATCAATCAGCTATTGACCTAGGTGGGGACTCCCAGCCTCTCCCTCTGACCCAGTTCCCCCATACCTGCAGAGGCAGCTTCAGGCGCAGGTCTTCTGCATAGTAGCAGAGAACAGCCCAGGGTGCATTGAGGAGGATGTAATGTACTGCAGTGGCCTCATCCTGGACATCATGCTGCAGACACCAGGGGCTTCTGTGAGGGCCTGAGGGTGTTGCTGCGTGCCCTGTGTCTACTCACACTCAGGAGAGGGCTAACAATGCCATAGCCCTGGTGCTGATGGGCAGCCAATGGCTGTACACCATCTCAGTAGGAATGCTCATTTGCGAGGCCTCAGAAAGCTTGTGCTGACAGCAGAGAGCCTATATCTGGGGCCCATGCTACCTGCATCCTCTTCTATGGCAATGACAACCAAACCAGCCCTTCCCCCAAAGTCTGGGGACCCATTTGTTGCTTCTCAGAGACTGTATTGACCTAGCCCATCTTCTGTTTTAAAAAGGGGGTCAGCAAGTTCAGCTTTGCCTAGCAATGCTCAGTGGCTGCTTCAGCCTTCTACAAACCTCTGGACATTCACATTGCTCTCCACACACCTAAGAAGCCTGTACAGCCTCCATTATGCTATATGTCAGGCTACAGCAAAGCAAGCCATCCTCATGCCTAGACACTGTTTACTGAGACCAGCAGACTCCATGACAAAGACAAGGGCAAAGTGCACATAAAGCTTGCTTTTGTCTGTTGGAGCATGCAGTCACTGCTGCTTTGGTGCCAGATAGCACTAAAGGCCAGATTTATATTAATTCTGCTATAGACTTACAGCTATATAGACTAGGAGTCTGTTAGGACGGTTGTGACTTGGGTACATCCAGTACTCTATAGGTAATTTAATAAACTCATTTATTTAACAAGATGGACTAGTTTGAGCCATTTGTTGAGCTGGTCACTGTTGTCCTTGTTTAGAGACATGTGTTAATTTTACATCTTTTCCCCAAATCCTACAGCAGTGTCCATGCTGCCCTGAGGTAAGACATGCCCAGAGCCCTGGGAGGGCTGAGACTTTTGATCTTATGAACAAAAGCTTCTGTGGAGTATGGACTTATCTTTCAAAGACCTTTCCAGAGTTCTCAGCTCTTGTTGTACATCACAGCCATCTGGAGTTCCCCCAAATGCCTGTGTAAAAACTATATCCTTCTTATGGAGGCAAACTGAACCTGGCCATTTGGGGCACCCTTGGATGGCTGTGACAGGCTGAGAGCTAAGAACTGAGTAGTCTCAAGGCTGATAGTATTTGGAGAGCTAGTGGTTGGGTAGATGAATAATGAGTGATGAATAGATGGATGGATGCATTGTGTGTGTGTGTGTGTGTGTGTGTGTGTGTGTGTGTGTAAAAGTTACAGAATACACAGGGTCAGAGGTTGTGGTGGTTTGAATAAGAATGGCTCCCTTAGACCCCCATAGGCTCATATATTTGAATGCTTGGTCACCAGGGAGTAGAATTCTTTGAAAGGATTAGACTGTATAGCCTTATTGGAGGAAGTGTGTCACTGAAAGTGAGTTTTTAGGTGCCAAAAGTCCATGCCAAGCCTAGTCTGTCTGTCCGTCTCTCTCTCTCTCTGCCTTCAGACCAGGATGTGGCTCTCAGCTACTGCTCCAGCACCATGAATGCCACCAAACTCCTCTACCATGATGGTAATGAACTAACTCTGAAACTGTAAGCAAGCCCCTAATTACATATTCTCCCTTGTTTGAGCTACCTTGCTGTCTTTTCACAGCAGTAGAACAGTGACTAAGACACAGGCAAAAGTAGCCCTGTCCACAGTTTAAAAAAATGGAACTTGTATCAACAGTGACATGTGTGACAAGCAATCTACATGTCCAGAACAAACAAGGAATTCCTACACAACTGAGTAGAAACAGGGAAATGACCCCACATAAAGGAGCACATGATACAAAAAGTGTTGGCCTTCCAGTTGCTTCCAAACTTAGATGGCTCTGCTTTGGAGTTCTTATTTCAGGACAGGGGGCTAATAAGATGCATATGTGCACACCGGCCTTTGGCTTTTGGTATTTTCTTGTGGGCAGTGTAGTCCTGCCCTCTCTGATGATGCTGGGAAGCAGCTGTGAGCACAGCTCTTGGCTTAGCCTCTACTCCCAAGGGAGCAGCTGCACTGTAGAGTGGACTGGTGGCTCAGGTGGGGTATTTGGGCAAATAGGTGCATTTAATTCATTTTGTTTGTTTCTTTGTTTTTTGAGACAGGGCTTCTCTGTGTAACAAGAGCCCTGGCTGTCCTGGACTTGCTTTGTAGACCAGGCTGGCCTTGAACTCACAGAGATCTTCCTGCCTTTGCCTCTGCCTCCTGAGCACCAGGATTAAACATTTGATGCATTTTAGATTATACCCAGGTCTAGGTACTGGATTCAACTGGGCTATGGCTGGGAGCAGGTGCCCCTATCATAAGTCAAGGAGAAGCTTAATGGAAACACAAATGGCTCATAAGTGTGTAAAACCTCTTTAGAAATTAGATAAAAAGCCAGGCGTGGGCGGCAAACGCCTGTAATCCCAGCACTTGGAGAGGCAGATGTAGGCAGACCTCTGTGAGTTGGAGGAGAGCCTGATCTACAAAGTGAGTCCAGGACAGCCAAGGCTATATAGCAGCTGACTGATGAAAATGGAAAAAAACGGAGAAGTTAGGGCTGGAGAGATGGCTCAGCAGTTAGAGCACTGGCTATTTTTGCAGAGGACCTGGGTTTAGTTCCCACCCCCCAAATGGCAGCTCACAGCCATCTGGAATGTCAGTCCTAGGGTATTTGACTCCCTCTTCCAATTTCAGTAGGCACCAGGCATGTGGTGCACAGACATGAATGTATGCATGTAAGCAAAACACATTACACATTAAAAAAAAATAAGTAAATCTTAAAAAGGAGAGAGAATGAAAAAGTCTAACAATGACATGTGTTGAAAACATTCAGAGCAAGGGGGTGCTAGCTCACCCCCAGAAGACAGTGTAAATTGGGCCACCATTTAAGAAAAGGCTTCACTTGGTCATCAACTCTGCTCCTGGAGAAATGCAGTTTAGCAGCAATTCTAAGATGACTAACAAAAGCTAGCTGTCACTGGGGTCCTCAACTAGAAATAAAGAAACTCCTACAAGCCCACAGCAAGGTAGACAGTACCTGCTGTTCAGGAGAGTTTCACAGGGCCACATAAAATGGAAAAAGCAAGACCCTATTGTCAAACAGACAAAACCGAGCTCAAGTGCTGAGTGATATGATTAACAGAAGTTTCACAACTGAATCTTAAGGTCGGGGACCATGATGACAACAGTGCTTCTGGGGACAGAAGGAGGTGGTTGGGATGAAGAGTATCAAGAATATGTATATAAAGATCTGGCAATGAAGGGCATGCACACCCCTCCATCCTGAGATTCCCCCGTTGCCCACTGCAGTGTTCACTCAGGGCCTACATGACTATTCCATTTCTCCTGCTCATTCGTTCTAAGTGGTACTATTACATAAAACACAAAAGGGACCTTTGAATCTGCTAAATCCTATGAACACCAACAATGACTGCAAATGACACACACTGACAAAAGTGGAGATAGGCAATGGGTGGCAAAGATGGAGGCAGTTTTGTCGACTTTCCTGAAGGCTTTAGTCTCTGTGATGAGTGAGCCTAGTGTGTTATGGTGGATCTATATTTCTGCTGGCCTGGGGTCAGTGGTTCCCTAGCCACAGGGAGCTCCCTAAAGGTTGGGTATCCAGAGGAACTCTGGGGCTTAGTTTGCATCATATTTTTGGCTGGGAGGCCCTCGGACTTGTAGAATAAAGTCAGGTTATGAGAAAATACAGAACCTGCATAACTCTCTTCTTACCACTATGTACCTGATCTATATTCAGGCCAGCCATACGAAGATTTTCCAGAAAGGTCTCCCGCCAGACCTCATGTGTGTCTTTGTCCTGGGTAGGGCTCTCTTGGTTCCTACCAAGGTCTTCTTCCCAAACAAGAACAAAATCTGCAAGGATCAATGGGGACAGAGGTAGATAGCTCAGGCTAATGGAATGCAGGCCCAGGGCAGGGTTGCTGGGTTCTCAACTGGGGCACAGGGGTTGTGATAGGAAGTGAGAGCCATTGGCTTCTCCAGTGCTCTTGCCCAGCTGGCTCCTTGGTTGTAGTTAGGGCTGGAGAGCAGGCTTGTGTGCAGTGCAGATCAGGAACTGAGGCTGGAGAGGGACTGGGTGTGTCCTCCTAGGATCCCTGCTGTAGCTTGGTTCCCACAGTCTATGTCCCAAACTCCTAAAGAAACCTGGTTAGGTGTGATTTCTTGGATAAAAAAAAAAAAGTACAACAATTAGAGAAAAATTGATAAGACAAATTTCATCAGTGGATGCCATCCAAAAGGTAAAGGCAACCCAGAGAATAGGAGAAAACTTTTGCATAACATGTGTCTAATAAGGAGCATACCCAGAATTAAAAGGGCTCTTACACACACACACACACACACACACACACACACACACACACACAAAGAAAGAAAAAAAGAACAACCAATTTAAAAAGGGCAAAGATTTTGAAGATAATTTCTCTAAAGAAGATATAAAATGCCTAATTGGCACAAGAAAAGACAGTCGTTAGGAAAATACAAACCCAATCTATAGCAATAATGTCATAGAATATGCTGTCCCAGTGAGGAACCACCAGCACACTTAGAGATGAAGGACAGTTTTTTACTGAGGTACCTAGGTGACTGGGGCTAATGCCAAAACAAGAATTGACCCCCAACTAAGAAAGCATTCTGCTTTCTTAGTTTATATAGACCCCAGGCTTATGCATTTTGCATACTCTGTCATCCTTACAGCTCTTTCTGGTCCTGGCCACAAGTTATGCTTCCAACAATTTAGACAGAGACGGGGAAGACTGTGAGTGAGATTACTTCGGCAGATGGGAGACTTATTTAAACACAGCAGTGCAGGTCTCTTTTGAACAGCTGTGACCCAGGGTCATCTCGCCCACTGAGAGAGTTTTTATGTTTCCTCTGAGAATACAGGACTTAATGGCAGACTAGAACTTAATTACGGCTGTGATCCTGCAGTGCCTCCCTTGAGCTGCCCTGTAGAGGCATGTCTTTGGTATCGGAACCAGGGTCTAATGGCTGCTCAATCCAGGTGAGTAAACATTTACATCCTTGTATTCTAAATTTTGCTTATCTCTAATAGGCCTGGTAAGCATAGTACTTATCTTTTGGGGTAGTTAGGAGGATATATTCTTTTAGCTAAATTCTACTTGTGTGGCTTACTGTCCCCTAAGCAAATCTATTGTTGAGTCCTTTTGTTTGTTTGTTTGTTTGTTTGTTTGTTTTTTGAGACAGGGTTTCTTTGTGTAGCCTTGGCTCTCTTTGACTTGCTTTGTAGACAAGGCTGACCTCAAACTCACAGAAATCCACCACCCCCGCCTCCCTGAGTGCTGGGATTACAGGTGTACACCACCACACCCAGCTTATTGTTGAGTCCTTTATAATACCAATTCTATCACTTCGAGTTTCTTCTACTTTAATAACATTTCACATGCCAAGTGGAGGCATTAGTAGGGCTGTGCTGTGCTAAGAGCACACACTGTGGTATTATGGGAAACAGGAAACTATCTTTGAAAAGTTCGGCATTTATACAACAGGTTAAACATTGGGTTACCTTATGACATAGCAAGTCTACCTGAAACTATCTGGTCAAGAAGAATTAAAACATGTCCATACAGCAGGGCATGGTGGTGCACACCTCTAATCCCAGCACTCTGGGAGGCAGAGACAGGCAGATCTCCATGAGTTCAAGGCTAGCCTGGTCTGCAACATGAGTCCAGGACAGCCAAGGCTATGCAGAGAAACTCTTTCTCAAAGAAAAGATAAGAAAACAAAGGAATCCCCCCCACACATAAATAAAAACAAAAAAATATGTCTACACAAAAGCTTGTACATAATAATTATTCTTATTCCCCATTCAAAACAGAAAAAAGAAGAGAATAGGTGAACTTTGTGGTATGTAAATTATTTATTAACAAAGCTGTTTCAAAAAAAAAAAAACCTGCCTAAATAAAGCCAAGAGCATTAACATTTGCCTCCTTTGACCACGTTCAGAGAGAACGTGGGTCCCTGAGGATCTGGGTGCAGCTCCTGTGGAAGCTCAGTGTTGTGTGTGCCTTATTACAGCCTCTCCAGCGGTATGTGTGTGCTAATGCCCACACACTTTGGCAGAACATGCTACTTTCTGCTTTGCATTTTTGTAATAGTCATGCTAAGGCATGTGAGGTTAGAGCTGTCTACTTTGGAGCTGCTGGGGAGTGTGTGGGCCCTGGACCCCACAGAGAACTGCTGTAGGTCCCAGCAGGACATGAAGGTGGCTTTGGGCAAGTGGAAGCCATGGGCTAGGGGCATGGTGGGAGAAGTGGATCTGAGAACACTTAAAGGTAGAAAGATGTGAATGCAAGAAAAAAAACAAACTTGTGGCTGAAAATGAGGAAGGCTGGAGCAGTCACTACTCGGTTTTCCTCTCTGTGCTCTCCTGTCAGGGGACCTTACTCTCCTGTTATCTCCCAGTGTACCACTTGCTCAGCAGGCGGCTCTCACCTCAACTCCAGTACTACAGTTGTCCCCAGAACACTGGACTATCACTAGAAGCCTGGTTATTGAGCTGACCCAAGCCTGCTGGCTTCCTGCTGCCAGGCACCTCACTTATGACCCCACCCCAGGACCAACAGAGTACAGATGGCTTACCAATTGGGGGTTTGGCATAGCTCCCAACTCTGCTGGGGACCACCTGCTGTTTATCTGCCTGGAGGAAGGAAGAAAGCCTTCAGCACCCAACCATCAGTATGAGTCACTCCCACCCCGCCCCCTTCCTAGTTGCTTCTTGTCCCTCCTCCTACCTCTTTCCATGTTCCACTTTGCCCCTCCTGTTTCCAACTTGTACCATCTCCACCCTTCCCTAATTCTTCCTGCCCTCCTTTCTCATTTTTTCTTCCCCCTTTGACATTTCCTGCTCAGCTTTCCCACTCATCCCTGTCTCCCAGTCTAGCTCTGGCCCTGCCCCAGACCACCCTGCTAACAGAGGAGCATGCAGAGAAAAGTTGGGAGCTGTAGAGGGGAAGGGAAGGCTGAACTAGAATGGTAGGCTAGTGTCTGGCTCTCGCCATCCTTATCTTCCCCACCCGCCTCCATTGGTCTTTGAGTGCTCTACCCAGCATGTGGCAAAAACCATGCTCAGGCCTGCACTGAATGCCCTTCCCAGTCTTCACACCTGGAAGGGAAGCCATGCTGTTCTTGTGTGCTCTTGAGGACAAGTCAGTTCAATCAGGGTATAGAATCCTTGCTTTGCTTACATTCTTCTTCCCTCTGGAAAGCAAGGCTTTGTGTTCCCCTTTTGGGGGCCTCATTTCATGATACAGAGGGGCAAAATGGTACCTATAGGGACTCTGTTTTCCATAGGCACTGAGGGCTCCTTGGTTTTGTTCAGGAGACCAATGTCTTCTGGTGTTGAAGAAGCTCAGCTGAGGCTAAAGGAAGCTAGGCAGACCAAGATGTTCTCCCTCTGGAACTACTTGCCTTTGTAGAAGGCCTCTACCTGTCTCATAGGGACTAACCCCTGTATCAAGCTTAACTCCTGTTTCCCACTCTAATGCTAACCTTCAGGTAGCCCCAGGCATGCTCTTAACCTTCCCTCCACCTTCTATTAGCTCCACGGCCCATTCCAGCCAGGACATGACCCTGACTACAAAGCTCTTTCTCCTAGCAGGAGTAGGCCCCCTCATGAGTTGCTTTTCCGACAAATTGTTAGATGCAGAACAGAAGAAAGATTGGTCACAAGAACCATTCCATTTCGAGAAGAGAAAGCAGGGAAGCAGCAAAACATCCAGGGTGTGGCCACCCTGCGCATCTGCTATCTGCCTTCCAGTATTTGCAGGCCTTTGCGTGTACCAGAATTCATGGGTGACTCACCATACTTCACCATTCCCCACATCCAGAAAATATGTATGTGGTCCCAGTTTCCTCCTTTCACAGGGGTTCTGGCAGAGAAGGACCAAACCCAGGACCTTGGTCCTATCTGTCTTCTCTCCTTCCCCCAAGCCTCCTGTCTAATAGGATCTCAGACTGTCCCTCCAAGTTTGAGGGAGGTGAGTGGTGACCTGGTGGTGTGGCGTCTTTCCCCTGTCATCCAGGGCTGGGGGTTGCATTTGGATGTTGTACCCACTTTTCAAGTGCTCTAGGACAAGAGCAAGAATACAGGCCGTGACTGAGATGAGAGATCTCCCAAATCACACAGCACACAGGACCCTCATGGTCCAGAGTCTAGGGAGGAGGAGGAAGGGTGGTTTCATGCTGAACACCATCCCTATGGTTGAGGGTACCTCTGAGGCTTGGGCTGTGCTTCCGTAAGAGCAGTCATTCCCTGCTTCCGGGGAGGCCATGTCGATCAGCACCATGCTGTCTTCTTCCCGGGTTCGCCGCCGCAGCATCTCACTCCTGCACCACACCAAGGCCAGGGTAGCCAGGGCATGAGTGGTTAGAGAGGACACCAGTGAGAGCCAGCCCTGACACTGTGGCAGAGCCTGTGGCAAGCTTGTTCTACATGTAAAGAGACTGGTGCAGAGAAGTGGGCAAAGGCTCTGTCAAGGTCAGACAGTACTGTCCTAATGTAGGCATGTGAGAATCCCCACACTCTGGGACGTTAGATCCAGGAAAGAGCCAGCCACTGAATGGAGTATCTAGGAGCCTAGTGTAGCATCCATTCATCTATCCACCCACCCACCCACCCACCCATCCTCCTATTCATTCATCCAGTAAGTGCCGAACCCTCTTTGGTCCTGAGTGCTTTCACTCTGTGTAAGGCAATGTCACAGTATGTATGAGGTTGCCACACAGACCCTCCCTCTTCCTTCCTTCACCTATAGAGGAGGGCCATTTGGGTCATGGAGGATAGACAGTACCCTTTAGGGCCATCCGCTTTTGCTATAATTCTAGAGGACCTACTTCCAGGACCCCAGTCTCTCCAGCAAGGAGAAGCACAGTCATTTGGGGAGTTCTATGGAGTCTTCATGCCAGCCTGTGACACATGGTCTGGAAAGGAGGTAGGTGGGAGCAGGGCTAATTTTCAGGTGAGCAGACAGGGGAAGGACACAGGGTCCTGGAAGGTATACATAAGCCCAAACCTCCAGCTCCTGCCAGGACTCAGCATCACAGTGTGGGGACCCCAGGAGGGAATGAAAACCACAGGTGCTCTTATACAAAAGCTCTGCAGTGTATGTCTCCTGATGGGTGGGACTGAGTGCAATGACAAAGGAGTCTCAACTAAAGACCCCAGACAAAATCTGTTATGGGCAGGTGGAATGCTGACTCCTTATAGTAGGGAGTTATGGTAGTTACACTGAATATTGTCACTGCATCTCTAGGGCTTAGAGCAGAACTGTGCCAGGCTTCTGCCGCTGGAGAGCAAGCTCCAATGCCGCCGCTCCCTCTTCAGAGGGTGGAACCCCAGTGAGTCCATCTCCCTTCTACCCTCCCTGTGGCCCAAGCATCCAGGACGACACTCAGCCTACCTGGCACAGTGGCTTCCAGAGGAGACTGCAGAATTCATAGCCAGCTCATCAGCACATGCCTGGTTCCCGCAGGAGCAAAATCAGGGCCAGCCCTGACCCTAGAGCCCTGCCAGAGCTGTGGCAGCCACTCACCTGCCTTTGCCTCCCAGGGTAAAGGGGCTGGAAGCAGACAAGAGAGGTACTCAGTACAGCTGGCCACTGGGGTGCGGTCTCGGAAAAAGTCTCTGGGCAGGATCTGCCTGTTTGAAAAGAGGGTGTGGGACTCTGAGCCTGCAAACAGTCAGCCCATTTTTCCTTCACACACCCAACATGCAAATTGGATGTACCTTAGGCATCTTATTTGCTTAGAGATTCCAGTGGCAGCAGTTCTGTCTGCCACAGGAATGCCCAGGGAGATGGTAGTTATAGGACCAGACACAGGTGTCCCGTCAGGCAGCCCTGTTTCTGTGGGGTTGAAGTGAAGATCCACAGGGGTCCCAGCACTGAGAAAAGGGGAAGGGCTTTACCACTTCCTGAGGTGTGAGCTTATACACTGCTGCAAGGATGAGGTTAGGAACACAGACAGTTTGTTTTCCACAATGTCACATTTTATTGACAACAAATTCAGTACAGCATTTTCAACAGCAGCAATTTGCCAAACACTCCTGCTTTCCTTGACAGTGCTGAGGCAAACACAGGTTCTTTTGTTGTAATCTTATTTACTATTTTCTTTCTTTTTTTTTTTTTAAAGATTTTTTTAGTTTTTATTTATTTATGAACAAGTGCTTCATCTGATATACACATGGATGCCAAAGGAAGACATCAGATCTCAGTACAGATGGTTATGAGCCACCATGTGGGTGCTGGGAATTGAACTCAGGTCCTTTGAAAGAGCAGCCAGTGCTCTTAACCACTGAGCCATCTCTCCAGCGCTTACTTACTCTTATATATTACACATCACATAGTAAATATAACTCTTTATATGTATATTTGTAGATTATGGGATGGCTGTAAGGGGTTGAAGAGGCAAGGAGTTTCAGAGTTTCCAAACAGGCCTGAGAAGCCAAAGCCAGGGAATTGTCAGGGACACAAGTCTCTGATAATTAAACAGAACTGCAGAAGTTGGAGAAATGGATGGTGGCTGTGAGTCAGGACACTGTGGGTCACAGATTTGAGAGTGAAGCAGCAGGCCTGCCTGAGTCCTTTTGCCTCTGAAAGACTTGGTCCAGACAAAGGAACAAGCTGAGTGATGGACAGCAGTACCAGATAAAACAGGGGGATGGGTGGATGGCAATTTGAGTAGGCTGCATCAACAGTGGAAACAGACAATCTGAAGCCTCGGAGAGTGAGGGGACCTTTGCCTGTCAGTCAGTCCTTGATATATGCCGAGTGGTGAGGAGACAGATCAGAGGGGACTGTCACCACCCGACTGCTACATGTTTACTTCTCATGGGGTCAGATGGAAGAGTTACTTTCCTTACCCTGGGGTGCCCAGTAAGTTCTTGGGCCTGATTTTCCTGATATGACTTTAATATGCCCATGTGCCCCCATAGCCCCAATCCACCATGACGGAGCACCCTTTCTACTCCCAGGATAGTCACTATCTGTCTGTGCCATGTGAATGGTGTTGAACAGTCACCTTCCATCTTCAATATGGAGTACAAAGCTGCCTGTAAACAGTCTCACAGGGTAGTCAGTGTGCAAAGCCACTGTTTACACAATATGGAGTTACTTAGGGCAAGGTTCAGCCTGACCTCAACAGGCATGTGCACTTTCTCAGGGCTTCCTGTGAAAGGGCTCTCTAAATGGAGAGTTGTCACAGCTCTTCTCCTCCTTGGTTTTGGGCCACTCCCTGTCTCCTTGTTTCTCCTTGCAAGCAGGGAGATACCTTCTCAGATCTAAGGAATTCAGACTCAAGACTCTAAACCCTCTCAGTAACTTCAGCCCTTGGCAGCTCCCCTGCCCCCAGGAAGCCTCCATTCTGGGTCCTGTGATATGTCCTTGAAAAGGTAAAGCCCCTGTGGGCAGCAGATCCTGGTGTGCAGTAGGCCCTGAATACGCCATGGAGACCAGACTCAGAGATGGACTCTGAACATGAATGCAATCAAGTCTTGCAGGAAACAGGAGAGCACATGGACAGGACAAAGGGAGGAGGACCAGAGAGGTGGGGGTGAGGGAGCAGTGGATCTCAGCAAGTCCCAGAAGGCATGTGTAGCTTGAACCACTGGGGTAAGCTGAAAGCACACGATCACACCTCCTCAGCCTGCTGTAACCTTACTCTTTCACTGGTTGGTCAACAGTAGAGGACCATCACAAGAAAACAGTCACTCTCCAGGCTCTCCAATCCTAAATCTCTGCTCTTGTACTGTTTTTTTGTTTGTTTTTGTTTTTTGAGACAGGGTTTCTCTGTGTAGCGCTGACTGTCCTGGAACTTCTGTAGCCAGGTTAGCTTCAAACTCAGAAAACCACCTGCCTCTGCCCAATTAATTTTGGGATTAGAGGTATGCACCACCATGCCCGCTATGTAGGTTTTTTTGTTGTTGCTGTTGCTTTTTTTTGAGACTGATCTTGCTATGTAGCCTGGGGTAATTTCAAACTATGTGCAACCACCTTGCTTCGGCCTCCTGAATGCTGGGACGTTCCAGTCTCTGCTTTTGATAGCAATTAGAGCATGCTGCTGGCAATCACTTCACACTACAGGGACGGACGGCAAGAAAGCCCTCAGGTATCTGCATGCAAAACATCGGAAAGGGTTCTCATCTCATCCCTGGGCTGGTTTTTAATTTAAAAGTTATATTTATTTGTGTAAGACTGTGTGTGCACACAGACCCATGCGCACATGCCGTCACATGTATGTGAAGGGCAACTTGTAAGAGTCACTGTTCTTCCGCTACCATCTGGTTCTCCAAGGACTGAACTCAGGTCATCGGCTTGGTTGGTGGCGAGTGTCCTAACCCACTAAGCCATTTCACTAGCTTCCCTGGGCTAATTTAAACTCCCCCCCCCCCCCCCAAGCTGTATTACTTTTTTTTGCAGGAGGAAAGGAAGGAATTAGTACAAGTATCTTGTTAGATCCCAGGTGCTAGGAGGAATCAAGCCCCTAATCTTTGACACCAGCTTTACTTGGCTGTAACTTTTTCTATGGGTTTATGTAACTGTAAGTCCAGGGGCTGGAGAGGTGGCCCAGTGGTTAGAAACACTTGCTTCTCTTGCAGAGGACCAGTGTTCTGTTCCAAGCACACACAACCATCTCTCACTCAGTACCAGAGGACCAATGCCCTCTTCTGGCTTCCAAGAGCAAAGCAGTATACTTAGATGGAGGAAAAACACCCACATAAAATTAAAATGCATAGCAAGAGAGTGAGCCCTGACGCAGCCCTGCTCAGATGCTGGGTATCTGTGGGGGAAGAGGTGGTGATGTCTAGGTAGGCTGGGCACAGGGCCCTGGGCCTTAGGATGTTTCCTCTTCAGCTGGAAGCTGGGGCTGGGTCCTAGCAATCGGGTCACAGGCTCCCACGCCTAACTCAAGATGGCTTTCCTAAGTCTAGCTCTGTATACCTCTCCAGCCTGCTGTCCCTAGATTGTTTTGATGCCTCTCAGCCCACATCCCACGAAGGTCAAGGCCCAGTGATACCTTTCTCTGTCCATGAGTGTTGTAACCTGCTGGGCCAGACCCAGCCTATGTTACACTAACACACTTGGGCTGGCACCTGCCTAGGGTGTCCCTACCCATTCCCTTTCTTAAAACATCCTCTCCAGGCTTGGTGCCCAGGGGCAGGGGCAGGGAAACAAGGTAGAAGCCCCAGGTCACCTCTAACCCTCTGTCCAGCTCTTCTGTACTCTGAATGCGTACATAAGTGGGCATGTGGTCACTACCTGGCAGAAAGCAGGGCCCTACTACAGATCCCTGAGAACAGGTCCCTTATGCCCCTCCACAGCTCCATAGTGGTAGAGATGGTGAAGCTGCAGCAGGGTTGGGAGTATTATGAGACAATGCCTGCTCCATCCTAGCAGAGCTGAACTGGATAGGGCTAGAAAGAGCTGGCGGGTGGGTCTGAGATAACTAGGGCTGAAAAGGAGAAGCAGTGAACATGTCCTATGGGCTCCAAATAGGAGGGAGCAGACAGGGATCAACATAAACTACCACAGGAACAGGAGCCTTCTACCCTCTAGTTGGAGAGTGATGTAGAAGAGGAACTGGGAGAGAAAAGAGGTCATTTCTGGAGGGCAAGTGAGTAGGGAACTTACCTGTGGGCCCAGTCCTCCCAGAAGAGGCCTCCTGGTATGCTGTGTTCTTGGGGAACAACTTTGAAGGGACATAGTACTCAGTCTTGCCACAGACAGAAGCAAGCCTTGTTTTAATAATCAGTCATGCTTTGATTAGACATCAAAAAATCCAGAGCCCACAGGCAGAATGCCGGGGAAATAAGAGTTCACTTTTATACAGTAAACTGTTTCCTACTGCTAATCTAACAAATATTAGCAAAAATCTTCCATCTTAAAACACCCCCCCCCCAAAAAAAAGGAGGGTGGAGCTGGAGAGATGGCTCAGTGGTTAAGAGCACTGTCTGCTCTTCCAAAGGTCCTGAGCTCAATTCCCAGCACCCACATGGTGGCTCACAACCATCTATAAAGCGATCTGGTGCCCTCTTCTGGTGTATAGGAGTACATGCAGGAAGAGTTACTATATAAACAATAAATAAATAAATCTAAAAAAACAAAACAAAAAAGAAAAATCCCAAGCTAGACATGGTGGTACACACCTTTAATACCAGTGCTCAGAGGGCAGAGGCAGGTGGATTTCAGCCTGGTCTACATAGCATGTTCCAGGACTGTCAAGGGCTACACAGAGAAATCCTGTTTTGAAAAACCCAAACCAAACCAACCAATCAATCAACCAACCAAAAGCAACAACAAAAATCCACATCCCAGTTCTGGAGATGTCAAGTCTGAGTCTGCCACTAGACTAAGGTCAGGGTGTCACCAGGCCCCATTCTATCCTGGGGACTGGGAGCAGCCCTTTCCAGTTTCAGAGGAAAGGCTGATTTATGATTCTCTTTTGTCTTCAGTCATCCTTTCATGTAACAAGCCATCTCCCAGTGTCATACCTCCCCAGTTTAATCCAAACCAAACTGAAACCCCCTCTCCTGCTGCACCAGGTCTCCGAGGTTGGAAGTGGATGTTTGGGGGCTCAAGTTGGCTCTACTGAGCAATAGGCCTTAAGTCTCTGTGTACATGTCTGATCATTTCTGCAAGGCAAAGCTTCTGAAGAGCGGTGCTGAGTGGCTGCGTGGAGGAAGACCTCAGCACAAGGTAGGACTGCTGCAGGCCCAGGGTGCTGTGGGCTCCCCAGATTTCATCGAGGGAACAAAGTGCTCATTCCCTGAATCCCTACAACCTCTGAGTTACTTAGTCCCCACAGACTGCAGTCAGGAATGGTTCTATTATTGTGGGGGTTTGTTTCATTATTTTGTGGTGCTCCCACATGCTAGGCAAGTGCTCTACCACTCAGCTACACCCCCAGGCTGATAGTTGGTTTTAATTACCCTTCATTGATTATTAAGAGCCACATGCTATGCATCTGTCTCTTCTGATGAAAAATCCAGCTTTCTGACTTTTTATTTAAAAAAATTCACACTTCTTTGTGTGTACATGCCAGAGGACATATGGAGGTCAGAGGACAACTCACAGTAGTTGGTTCTTTCCTCCCACCATGTGACTCTGAAAGACAGAACTCTGATCAGCAGGATTGGTGGCCAGTGCCTTTACCAGTTAAGGTATCTAGATCTAGATGGCCTTTTTTTTTTTTTTGTGGACTGTAGGTATTCTATACATTAAATCATGTTCTTTCACATATAGGTAACTTGATTGTTTTAATATGCCTTTTGGTAAGAGTGGCCCTTTAATCAGGCAGCTAATACTTCTCACTGCTTTTCCTTCCTAAGTTAGGGTTCTAGTCTCATATCTAGAAAATCTTCTTTAGAGAGGAAGTCAATGTAATTTCTATCCAAATGTTAGCATGGTTCACCAATAACTTCATCTGAAGAACAAATCTTTCTGCCTGCTGGAAACATACCTTGTATCAATATCTACTTGCTTAGTTTCTGAAAAAAAAAAAAAAAAAAAATGTCCATTTCAGTGACTGCAATTTCTAGAACTGGTGTTTATGCAATTTGCTTTACTTTTCACATTTCAACATCTCTGGACTGAGCATATGTTGTACAATTAATTGTAGATTTAGTGGTACAACTAACTGGCAGGGTGTTTTAATTGTTCATAAAGTATCAATATCTTGAAATTCACAGTGTTCAGATCTGATGAAATACGGCATGGTATACATTTAAATACTTAGTCCTCAGTTGACGGTGCTACTTGGGAAGGCTGTGGAGCCTTTATGGTACAGAACCTAGCTGGAAGTGGATCACTGGGAGGCGACCCCAGTTGACTGGGTCTTTGCCTCTGGACTGTCACTTCCCACTGTTGCGGCGGGAAACCGCTCCTGCTGACACTACATTCATTGAGCCCTGAGCCAGACTAAAGTCCTTCCTTCCTTACGCTGTTTCTTCAAGGTATTTTAGCACAGAGACAATAAAATAACAGTGTGTAATTCAGTGGGGAAGTGTCTTCACCCTTAATAATCTCCTAACCACAAGCAATGGAACCATACTCTATGATTGAGCTAACGTCTTCTAGGGTTCTAGCATTGCAAGCTCGGCCAAAAGCCAGTTTTTTTTTTTTTTTTTTAAATTTTCTTTTTAATGTGGGTGATGGGGATTTGAACTCAGGTTCTCAGGTTTGCAGAGCAAGCTTTCTTACCCATTGGCCTTTCTCCACAGCTCAAGTCTATCAGCTTCTACAATCTTTAAGACATCTTTTTCTTTATAAAGGAATAAAGATGTTGAAATCCAGGATACAGAGCCAGCGAGGTGAGTCAACAGGTGAAACATGCTTACCGCACAAACCTGACAACCTGAGTTCATTTCCCAGAACCAACTCAACAAATCTGTCCTTTGAGGTTCACATGGTGCACCATGGTGTATATGTACCTACACACACACACACACACACACACGATGTATTTAATAACGGTAATAATAATAGTAATAATAATACACTAAGTGGTGATTTATATAAACTCTGTTTCTGTTTCCTTTCCTTCCCCCTAATATTAGGGACTGAGCCCAGGATCTCCTACATGCTTGGCAGGAATTCTATTCTTGAGCTGTACTCCCAGCCCATTGTTACTTTTTATTTTGAGAGAGGGCTTCATTAGATTGCCCAGGCTGGCCTTGATTTCCCTCTATAACCAAAGCATGCCTTAAACTCTCATCCTCCTCTCTCAGCTCCCCGAGCAGCTGGGATTACAGGCCTGCATCCCAGGTCCAGTCCTGCCTACTTTTAAAACATCCTTGCATTCCTGAGACAAAACCTTTTTTGCCAAGAAGCAATATTCTCTGACTTGCTGATCTTTTATTCAAGCCTTCTGTATTTATATTCCTATGTAAAAGCAGTGTTTTCATTTTTGTACTGTATTTGTCAAGATTTTTAGCAGGGGCATTTTCTACTCAACATAACTGGGGGCTCCAGCCAGTTCTAGACTCTGGAGGTTCTTCCTGGGACTTAGAACTGTTTTGAGGAATAACTTTTTGTCATTTCTTCCTAATTCCAGAATTTGAATTTACTTGGAGATACTTTCCTCTGCCTATTCCATGTAACTGTTAGGATTTTCTCACAAAGGACTGCTGTAGATACATCCTTGGGAGGGCTCTGCTGGCTTTGGTGCCTGCCACTCCCTCTCTTATCACTTCTCTCTGCATACTCTATAGAAGCCACACCCATGTGGGGGGGGGCTCCTGTGAGGTACTGCAGTAAAGACACCTACATTTTAGTCCTGGGGTGTCTAAAATGTCTTCTCTTGTTCTCAACATCAATGGTGCCTGGCACAATCCCAGGACTATGGCACAGTGTTCTCTGGGCTGCATGCTGCTCCATTCAACATTCCTTGTTCAGAGCTTATTTCTTGACAGGGAGATGCTGCATAGAGTCAGATCATATAGTTTATTCTGGTGAGAATTAGAATCAGAAAATGGTTGTTAAATCCCATATAACCATTCTGACATTACAAACTCCCAGGCAGTTGGCCAACGGTTACCTTGGACACCTGGGCACATGCCTCACAACTCAGGGCAGGCTATCCCCCTGATACTGAACAAAGCTGAGATCAGTGCTTTCTGGAATCTTCTGTGATGTAAATGGGATGCCTTTCATGGGATGTGGTCTCTGAGCAGATTAAGTGTAAGCACAAATGAAGAGACAGAGTGAACCCAATGGACTTAGGTATGAACAGTAACCGCCACATGAGGCGGTTAGTGGTCCCATTTTGGACGGTGTAGAACTAGATCCCTGGAAGCTGAGGGGTCTTTGGTGACCATATTTAGTCCTTACTGGGTGAAAGAGGAAATGTGAAACGCAGATGGATAACAATGCTCTTTCAGCATTAGATTCACACGCTAGGAGTTTGCTCACAGAAATTTCATCTAAATAAGGCCAGAGGATTACGGGTGAGAATAGGAGGCCATGTAACTAGTAACCAGTGGCCAAGAGCTTAGTTATGCACGTTCAACATTAGCTGGGCAATATGGAGTGAAGTTCTCCATAGTTCAGCTTTTACCAAGTGGGAACAAGGTCATACAGCACCGAGCATGCTCAGTCATTACTCATGGCAGAAGGACTCTAAGGATTACAGCTTTGGAGATTGGATCATCTTTTACTCAAAAATTTTTTTTTTCAAAATTGGCCAAGAAAATATTTTTTCTTTCCAAAATTGGTCTGAAAGACTATCAAGTGTGCTGTTGTGGGTCATGATTACTTAAGACCTGAAAACTGACTTGAAGGCCTGCTAGGGCAGCCCAGAATGCCCACCAATCTAAGGACACAGACAGACAGGAAGAACAAATGACTGTGAAAAGTCCTGCATTCTCTCCATGGCTACAATAACCATCATCAATTCACCAGGAAGACCATGTGGCAAGATTTAATAGTGTTGGCATCTCCAAATGGTGTATGGCATCACAGGCCAGGTACCACCAATGCCTTATTATTGCCATTGGGTTGTGACTGTTGGTATAGTGACAACTTCAGGAGCATAGGTAGATTAAAAAACCGTGGCTGGGAAGTTCTTTTGAAAAGAGGGACCAGGTGAAGAGGAAGGACTCAGAACCTGACGAATGTGGCATCGATCTGCCGAACGGAGGGTAGGGCCAGCATGATCTTCCGCCGGTACTGTGGGTCCTTCTGCAGGGGGTTGCGCTCCAGGTACACGGTCTCCAGGTTCCTGGCACCCTTCAGCTCATCAAGGTCACTCCAGCTCTCCAGGAGATTGTCATTCATCTGAGGGAACACGTGGAAAAAGCCTTTGGAGATGGGCTCTGGCCCCTATGTCCCGGGATCCCCAAATATGAGACAGGGGTCATTAAAACTGTCTATGGTCTTTCTTATCCAATCCCTCAATTACCACTTGGTATTTCTTGGCTGCCTTTTAGCAGCGCTGTGAAAAATGATACCTGTGCACACACTCACTTGGGTCACCCTGCTGTGACAGGCCTCCATCTACACTAAGTTCGTTAGAGAAGAGCTGAAGCCCTCAAGCAGGTCTGAAGCTGCTTTGGGTACTCTTCCTACATACCTGATCTCACCACCTGCTGTCGAGGCTGAGACTGTGCTGACCATAACAGCTGACAGGAAGCTGCTCTACTCCAAGCATGACTGAGATCACCTCTGTGCTACATTTTTGAAGATGTTTCCACTGCTAGCTAGCTCCTGTATACAAAGGCCACCCATGGCTGGCCAACACTGCCAACACCTCATGAGGAACACCAGATCCTGCAGTGGGCTGGGGCCTGAGCTGTGGGATTCACAGTCTCATCTATGCCAGCCCATCTAGAAGAGGTGAGCCTGGCAGAAGAGTGCTCTCCCTAATCAAAAGAGGCATCTACATGAGCCTGGAGCTGGTTGACTTCCACACTGTCTAATGATGGGATCAATTTTTGAGACAAAAGCTACCTTGGGTGAGAACCTGTAGTGCCAGGTAAAACTGTTCAAACCCATTTTCCAGTTTGACTAAGTGCTATGGCAGAGGTTTGGAAAGGGCACCTTTTCAGATCAGCCACAAAGGTGTGGGCCCAAGGAATGCTAGCAAATATTTAATCACCAGCTTGTTCTACAGAACAGAGAAGACACATGATTAGTTGAGTGTGCTACTTTCTGTGGTGTAAATAGCATGACTGAATTGGTACCAACATGATGCCAGTAACTACAGCCGTCAGGGGTGTGCACAATTGGCTACTCATGTCACCCAGGCTGGATGTAGTCCAGTGCACTTAATGGCTTGAAGACAGAAACTAAACGGCAGAGCAAGCAACCACATCAACAGTCCAAACTGAGTAGCCAGTCTAGCTTCACACTGACTCTGACTACAGTCCCATTTTGTCCACAGAGTCAGAAGTCATGTCTATAGACACTCCAAGCTGCAGGGCCTGCACCAAGCTGCTACAGGAAGTAGGGCACCACCATGGGGAAGAGACCTCTCTAGTCTGAGAACTTACCATGGCCAGAGATGGGGAGAGCATAAGCTAAAATGACACACATTAGGACATGGACAATCTACATGTAAAGCAGAAGAGAAGTGGAGGCCTGCAGTCAGGGTGAAAGGTCCCTGGGTGAGAATGCATGGAGGGGGCATCTCAAGGCCTTAGAATTAAGAGCCTCTCAGGCACTTGCCCTGAGATTCTACTGTCCTCAGGATGTGGCAAGGCACCATTCCTGGGTTTGAAGCATCTAGTGAGTATAGATCTTGGAAGTGTTGCTTCTCTTTTGCTGATGATTCATGAGGCCCTATCCTGTGTGAAGCTCTGAAGAATGCTGGGATTTGACAGAGTGATGATGTCCATAGGGAAAGACAGGGAGGGGATCTGCAATACAACAGTGAGAGGCACCGTGGAGAATCATGGGGCTTTGTAGAAATTTGGCTTTTATTCCTAAATGGGATGGGAATCCAATACAGGTTTTCTAGAAGGGCCTCTATGTTTCCCTCTGGTTTCTGTCTTTTTATTAACCTATATACAATAAACATATGGAGTGCTTCACACATTTGTGTTTCATCCTTGCACAGGGGCCGTGGTAATTTCTGTATTGTTCAATTTAGTACATGTGTAGCCAAAGCAAGCACAAGGATTTTATCTGGAGAGTACAAATAGGGCTCCAAGTCAGAAGATGACCTAAACAGTACAGGGAAAGAAGTTGGTGGTTTGGGCCAGGTGGCAGCAGCAGAGGTGGGGAAATACAGGGTTTTAGATGTATTTTGAAGGTAGAAGCAAGAATTTAGATGTTGGAGTGGATCTGGTACACAGGAAAGGGGAAGTATAGGAGGATGTCAAGACTCTGGTATGAGGATCTGGAAGGATAGTCATTGTCCCCTGAGGTTGAGCCAAATGGAGGGACTGTGGGTACAACCCATGATCTCAGGCTTGGACTTGTCCTATTTGGATGATGGCTCAACACATGAGCAGACAGCTAGATCCAAGAAAGGCACTGAGCTAGAGAAGTTTGGCTACCAGGAACAGAGTGGTGACATTTAAAACTGTAAGACTGGATAGGGCTGCCAAGGAGAAAGGAAAATGAAGACTCAATGCTAGAGCACTCTTGTGGGTGCAAGATAGCAGAGGAACAAGCAAAGACAACCAAGGACTTAGGGTGATAGGAGAACTGAGGCCAGTAGTTTTCTGTATGTTTTGAGAAATGTACAGCAATTAAATATATTTGATTAGAAGTGGGAGAAAGATGAGGAATGGAAAGGATGTTGGATCTGAAATGTGTCCACTGGCAGAATGGAATTCAAAGAGACGTATAAAAAGCAGTATGGGCACTGACCCACTGGAATGGATGTTGGCTGTCAGGTCATGCTGGTGGCTGCATTCTTAATTGCAGCAGGCTCAGGAAGAAAAAGCCCTACCTGTTATCACCTAAACAGAGGAAGTTCAAGCCTGAGATCATGAGCTCCCTTTCCTGCCCTTTCATCTCTGGGTCCACTTCAGCAGATAAGGGTCCACTGCTGCAGCCAGGCTAGACAACAGCTAGCTGTAAAAGGGAGCTGAGAGAGGACAATGCAGGGGAAGGAGTTAGGCCAAGGTGAGACTTAGGATGAAATCAGGCCAATGAGCTTGAAGTTCATGGAAAAGGCTACAAATGATAAGGAAGTCAATCAAGGGACTGAGATGTTAGGTCATCAGAAAAATCATCTACAGGGATGCTGGTATTACCAGTAATGTAGACAGAAAAAGCAGTGTCAGAGAGAGTGAACTGTCTGCAGAGAAGAGGCAGTAGCTGTGTGTGGGAGGTGTCTGAGAGCTGGCAAGCGTGCATGGTGCCAGGGTGGGCTACACAGCCTCTGTGCCAGCAGCTACTGCTTACCACTGATTGAGAATGTGTGGGGCGAGGCCAGCACAGGAAAATACAAAGAGAAGCAACTGATTCAATCATGTGCTGGTAATATAAGTAGGTAATGTCTGCCGTCAATCAAGCAGGCTGCTGCCAGAGGTTCTCCCTCCCTGATCTAGATTTTGTTCAGCATGTTTGCTTTGCTGGCTTGGTAAGGGGAAGGGTCAGGAATGGACCCCTGAGAGACCTGTGCCATTCCTCTTAAGTCCAGACTATAACAGTGTAACACTTCAAGTACACGTATATATGCAACTGTTTAGTTTCATAATACCCAACATACAAGGAGTTACTAGTCATGTAGAGAAGGAATGACAAAGAAACATAAAAAAAAAAAATCTAATGAGAAGAAAAGTCAAATCAAGGAGAAACAGAATATAGTCTAGAGTCATCAGGTACTGTTCTTGTAATGTCTGAACTTGCGTCCCAAGCTTATCGGATGACACACACCCTCCTGTAACTCCAGCTCTAAGAATACAATCTTGGGGCCTCCAGGGGCACAGGTCCTCATGTGTGCATAATTCATACTCAGTTATGTGTATACATATATACACATAACTAAAAACATGTTCTTAACAACATGTTCTCAAAGAGCTGAAAGTACAACTAGAACAAAAATTCATTGCATAGGCACTTTGGTCAACTTCACTGTCAGTGTGATTAGATTTAGAATCAGTAAGGAGCTATACCTCTGGGGATGTCTGAGGGAATTTCCAAAGGAAGGAAGCCTACCCTGACTGTGGGTAGCATCACCCCTTGGGGCTGGGATCTTGGGCTGCATAGACAGAGAAAAGCAGTGTCATCAGACCCTCTCTCTGCTTCCCAGCCTTCCCAAGCTTGAAGGGACCAGAGTCTAGCTGCATGCTCCTGCTCCCATGAACTCTGCCATGACAGACTGTGCCCTTTTAAACTGTGAGCAAAAATAAATCCTTTTCCTCTTAAGTTGTCTTTGTCAGTTATCTTGTCAAGAGAAGTAACTAGGGCTGGAGATGTGGCTCAGCAGTTAGAAGTGTTTGCTGCATAATAATGGAGATGGTATCCTATGTAACAATCCAGGTATCCTGCATGTGCATGTAATCCCAGCTCCAAAGGAGGAGGAGACAGGGGGATCACCAGGCTGTTTTTTCTAGCCTAGGTGAGTGAGAAAATGTCCGAGCCAGGTTCAGGGAGAAAGTGCCTCATGAGAACAGGCAGGGGTGGCAGAGAAGGGCACAGGTGCCCTCTTCTTGCCTCTGTCCCACACAAAGGCACGGGCACACACTCAGACACATATGTACTATAAAGACATAAAAATAGACAAATAGATCTTTATAAATGTAAGTAGTTAATTAATGAGGAAGATTTTGAAGAAGGATAAACAATAGCTTGAAGATAGAGAAACTGAAAGCACATAAACTGAGGCTCAGACCAGAGCAAAGCCTGAGGACAGGAGTGGGAGAGATGAGCAACAGATGTTGATCTAATCACCAAAGGACTAATATACGTATATTTATATATTTAGAAGAAACTAAGGGTTGATAGAGACTAGAACAATTTTAGAGAAAAAAAAAAACTTGCCTAGATTGCACAAAAGCTATACATTTACAGATTTAAAAAGCTCAGTCTTATGTGGTGGCACATGCCTTTGATCCCAGCACTTGGGAGGTGGAGGCAGGTGGATCTCTGTGATGTAAGCCTGTCCTATGTAGAGAGTTCCACAACAGTCAGAGCTACATAGAGACCTCACTTAAAAAAAAAAATGTATATCTGTAATACTGTACTAAAAAAATGTGAAGGTGAGTGTAGAGGAATTTTAACAGAACATGGCTGCTCTGGCAAGAGATCACATCCAAAGATCTAGGTCTGTGTGATCTGGCTGGAATAGAGACATGCCTTTAATCTGGGAGACAGAAACAAGCAGATTTGAGTTTAAGATTAGCATTGTATAGAGCAAGTTTCAGGTAAAGAAAAGCTTAGGTCCAGGCATGGTATTTCATGCCTTTAAACCCAAACAATGAAGGTAAAGTTAGTTTGTAGAAGGAAGCACCCATGTTTGATGTTTACTGACTGACAGAAACAGTGACAAATCAGAGAAAGATTTGACAAAATAGAATATGCCCAACTCTCACAGGAGAGAGAGGGGGGGGGGGAAAGGGAAACTACTTAAGAGGCAATGCAGAGAGAGAGAGAGAGAGAAGGCAGTTTTACTGGGACAGTAACATAAAGACAGGTTGCAGAGAGAGCACTCAGGTGAAGATTGAATGAGCCCGAGAATAAGGAGCCAGGAGATAGAGCAGACTGCTGGAGTTTGAGGCCAAGCAGAGCAATTAGGGGACTGAGAGAGAAGCCAAAGTGAGTAAGTCAGCTGGGAAAGGAGTTTGAGCCAGAACAATGGAATTGAACCAGCCAGCCCAGAACTCAGTAAGAACAAGAAAGGGTGAGCTTATTAAGCAGTAATTTTCAGAGACTGAAAATATTCTAGGCCTAGGTTAAATTGTATGGAGGCTAGAAGCTTCCAGGCCCAGGCCCAGGTTAGTAGGATGCAGTAATCCTCCTAAACAACAACTGTAGCAGGCAAATAAAAATTCCTTTTACAGGTGGGAATGGTAAATAAAATGGATCAGGAGAGAAAAACACTTGTTAACAACTTGAGTGTGATCCCCAGAACACATGCATACATAGTTCACTGAGCATCAAGGCTTCCAGGACTGGCAGACTTGCAATGATTCACGTTTTGCTCAACGGGACTCACTGAGCCAAAGAGATAGCTACCAATCCCACTAAGTTTAAAACTTACCCAGAATTCTTGCAGTTCTGTTAGATGACTGATATTTTCAATCTTTTTTATTCTATTTGATGCAATATCCAACATGGTGAGTTTGTTCTAAAATAAGAAAATATTTTTTTTCTGGATTACTGAAGTTCCACAGCAGCATGCAGCCACATGCAACAGTGTGGAGCTGAGCTGAAGGCTTCAGGTGAACCACCCTCCGCCTTGGCTTGGCTTTGATACTCCAGGCTGATACCTACAGCTTCTCCAGGTGGACTGATGCAGTGTTTCTGCTCAAAGCTTCATGAAGCTTTCAGTCTCTAAAATTTGCTTCAGTGTGAAGCCCCGATAACCACTGGGGACCCCAGTGAGACCCTTGCTCCTGTTCTTATGATCTGGGAAGAGCAGTGACCCTGAGCTGAGGAGGAAATGACAATCGTTGTAGTGTGCCTTTAGTGTTCACCATGAAGAAATACATAGTACCCTACAGTGGAATTACCCTACAGCTTCTCTTCAATGAGGACTTAGTGAGGATAAGACACACCAGGCACACAGTGGAGGTGGGAGTAACACAAAGAGGTCTTCTTATCTTGGACAAAACTACCTAGGGCCTAGGTATTTAAGAAGGGCCAATGTTGTTGTCTGTTGGGACTGAGAAATGATGGCAACAAGGGAAAAGCGAACCTTAGCAACTAATGGTGGTGTCTGTGGATACCATGCATCCTGCAGGACACAGCATTGTGGTTTTTTTCTTTTTCTTTCAGTTTTTTGAGATAGGGTTTCTCTGTGTAGCCCTGATTGTCATGGGACTAGCTCTGTAGACCAGGTTGGGCTTGAAGTCACAGAGATCTGCCCACTTCTGTGTTCTGAGTGCTGGGATTAAAGGTGTGTGGCACCACCACTCTGCTCACAGCACTCTGTTTTATGTGCTCTAAAACGTGTCAAATGTCGCCTGAAACACATCAGCTCAGCTTTGGTAACTGTTTTAAAGTTTCTAGTTTCAAGATTCAACAGAAGAACAATTTCATGGTGAAAGTTAAGTCTCCTGTAGCTCACAGTGCTGGCCAATATGTTTTAACAAACCATTGGAATTTTTTCCCTTGACTCCACGGGAACCTTGCACTGGCTGGGAACCTGATAACAGTCCTTCCCCTTCTGCCCTCAGGACCTCCCAGCACTTTAGACTCATGATCCCTGTTTTCCGGTGTCTTTGCATTCCTGGTGTCTTGATTCCAAGTCTTTCCAAGTTTTAATGGAAATTAAAAAAGATAAAAATTTCAAACATAGCCAGTAGCTACATAGCTATTTTACATAGCTATTGTAAAAAATATTACACCTGTGGCTTCCCAGTTCCTTGACGGTTTCATACTACCAACCTACCTGCCTCCACACCTGACACAACAAACATCACACCAGCAGAGGCACGTATGCCAGAAGCACTGAGTCCAGATGTGCACACGTACGAATGTCACCTTCATCATGTTACTGCCCCTGTGACATGTCATATACATGGAGAGGCAGCTCCTTCTCACCACCTTATCCTTAGCCACTTCTGTTCCCAATGCACTAAGCGGTAGTGTTCCTACCCAACAGCAATTCAGAGGGCTTCAGAGTCAAAAGGGCCACAAGACAACTGTATGTACAAAGGGACTAAAGGGACAGACCACACCCACTAATGGCAACATCCCCCAGCACTTTGTGATGGTCCTGTGGTGTTCAAACTGTGTGCAAGACTGCAAACTAGCAAAAGAGAAGTCCAAGTACAAAGGCTTGGAGCAAAGATGGCTGATGGTATACACTGAACAACAGGATTGGCCCTAATCTAACCTGAGATGCAGTTGTACACCTTCTGTGTGAGGAGGATTTGAGTGCTAGCAAGAACTTACTTTTGTTTAATTAAAAAACAAAACAAAGCCAGGTGTGGTGGTGCATGCCTTTAATTCCAGTGCTGGGAAGGCAGAGGCAGGTGGATCTTCTTGAGGCCAGCCTGGTCTACAAAAGGAGGCCAGGATAGCCAGGGCTACACAGATACACTCTGTCTTAACAAATAAACAAACCAAAAAACAAAACCAAACAGGGAAGGTGGGACTGTTTTCCCACAGCATAGGTCATAGCTTCCCATGATACCTAGTAACGCCCAGGTCAAAAGCTAGAACAAACATGTTAGACGGAAGGGAAAAAGCTAAGGAGTCAGATACATTAGATAGATGCCTTGGGATGTTGAAGAATGAGCATCTGACAAGTGGGCAGTGACAATGTATGTGCCACTTGGGAAAAAAGCATTTCTTCTTCTCCCACCATGAAAGTAAATTCCTGATTAGGAGATAAAACTTGGGCTGGGCATGGTGGTGCACATCTTTGATGCCAGCACTGAGGAGGCAGAGGCAGGTGATTCTCTGAGTTTGAGGCATCCTGGTCTACAGAGTTGTTCCAGGACATGGAGGGCTACATAGAAAAACACCTGCTCAAAAACAAAAAAACAAACAACCCTCCCCAAACAGAGAGAGAGAATAAAACTTGGGACAATATTAGGTAAATATTTTATCATTAGTTAAAATAAAATCTGAAAGAATGTCACATTTGACCACAGTAAATGTTAACAGTATTTTTCTCTTTTGTTTTTGAGACCTAGGAGTGACATGAAGTTTAACCAAGATGGAGATATTACATGTCTTAGGTAGTATTCTACACCCATGCTTCCTGTGTGCTTGAAGACAGCCCTGTACCACAAGGGAACTACAATGCAGATGTACTGGTCTCTTAGTGGGGGCTGCGACCTGTGGGGAGCAAGGGTATCGGTGCTCTCAGTGTGTGATCTACCCAGCCCCTCAAGGCTTTCCGAGGTCTCCTTGCTCCAGTGGCTGCCCCTATCTCCCCTTCTACAGAAGTTCAGAAGCTGGTTTAATTGTACATGTGTCTGAGGCAGGGTCTCAGGCTGCCCAGGCTAGCCTTGAGCTCACTTTGTAGTCAGGTTCAGCCTTCAACTTCTGATTCTTCTTTGTTCACCATTCAGGTGCTGTGGTTATAAGTGTGTGCTACCACACCTGGCTTCACAAGCTGACTAAACTCTTAATTTAACTTAGTGGAAAGTACCAAACTGTTGCACAGGCAAATTTTAGTTTTTCCAAAAATTCTTACATACATGATGCTAAAACCCAAAACACTGGTTTTCCTCCAGAATGATAACACTGCTGTAACTCAGGCCTGGATGGGGTACAGAGGGCAAAGGAACCTGTGATGAGATCTGAAGAATGATGCTTCCAAGAACAAAAGCCTCACCCAATCTTGGTATATTTGCTGTCAATTTAACAAAACCAAGCAAGCAAGCAAGCAAATAAACAAAAATGTTCCCCACAAACAAAACAAAACAACCCCAGTAAAATTGAACAAGTAAAATATATTTTATTTGTGTTGAATCATGCTTGGAGGAAAAACAGGTGGGGCCAAAGGCAACCTATATGAGAGGCTCTTCTTGATGGGAGGCTGGAGATGGGTGGGAGGAGTACAGGAGGAAGGTGAGAGGCAGTTGGGAGGAGGAGACCATATGCACACTGGACTCAGGGAGAGGGGCAGGGAAGCAGGAGCCATGCTCTTTCTTCTAAGCAGCCTAGCCAAGCTCACCCTGTAGCCTTTGCATGCTGGGGGTGGGGCTGAGGCAAGGCACTAAGCTCAGGAGAAATGGGAAGGATAGAGCTAGGGATACTTGTGTTAGCTATCTGTGTGAGGCAGAGGCAGATAAAGATTTCTCAAAGCACCCAAAGGCCTAGATTACAGGGCAGATGTGCAGTGAGCTGCCCTAGAGGGTGCCTGTGATACTTGAAAATGCACAGGCAGCCATGATAACAACACATTGGCCCTTTGACTTATTGGGACAGAGGGCCCTTAGCTCACATCCTGTAGGTGGTATGTCCACCTGAGGCCAGGCCTGGAGGGCAGTGGATACCAGCACCCACTCCTTCCTCTCTCCCTCCCTTTATCTCCCTCAGACAGACCAAGGGGCTCTTACGTTGTTCTCCAGGCCTTCGATAACCTCGATGCCATTGTGGCTGAGGTACAGCTCCCGCAGGTTCACCAAGCTCTGTAGACCCTCTATCTTTGTTAGCCGGTTGCTCTGTAAAAGAGAGTTAGATGTCAGCCTTGGGGCTGAGATGGTTCAGTGGTTAAAACATTTGCCACTCAAGTTTGAGGACACCCAGAGTTTAGACTCCCAGAACCCATACTAATACCAGGCGAGTGTGGTGACTTGCTTCTAATTCCAGACCTGGAAGGCCTGAGACTAGAGTTCTCCAAAACAAGCTGGCCAGCAAAAGCAGCCATGTCAGTTAGCTCTGCATTTGCCTGAAAGACCCTTTTATGAGTGAGGTGGGTTCCCTTGTCAAGGGATGACTCCCAACTTCAAGCTTCGACCTCCACATGCATGCACACACATGTGCATGAATATACAGATATTCATGCCACATACATACAAATGTTAAAAGAGTAAAAAAAAAAAAAGCTGTCAGCTACACAGGTTAGAAATAGAATGGTTTCACAAATGAAGCTTCTTTATCCTGAAGACTCCTAAGAAAAGGTATTTTATATAAACTGTATTAGGATGGTGATGGGGTAAAATAGCTCAGTAATTAAGAGCACTGGCTGTCCTTCCAGAGGACTTCGGCTCATTCCTAGAACCCACATGGCTGCTCATAATCACCTGTAACTCCAGTCCTGGGGAATCCAGTGCCTTTTTCTGGCCTCCAAGGGCACTAGGTATATATGTGGTGCACTGACATATATGCAGGCAAAGCATCCACACACATAAAATAAAAAATTTAATGTTCTTGAATAGGAATTAGAGAAGACTTAACATCTCTGTACTTGGTTGAAATTCCTATCTGGACATTCAGGATCTTTTATATGAAAATCTCACTTTTTTTTAAAGCTATATCTTCATAAGGTTTACTTGAAGTAATTAAAATACATTTGTTTATCTTGTGTATGTGTACATGGCCGTGAGATGGCGGATACAAGGAGGTCGGGGAAAACTTGTAGGAGTGAGTTTGCTCCTTCTATCACATGGGACTGAGCTCAGGTGGCCAGTTTTGGAGCAATAGCCTACTTGCCCTGCCGTCTCACTGGATCACTGAGTTAATTAACAATCTAAAATGTCAGAGGTATAATGAAAACGTCATTCATGTATGGGTGTTCTGTCTGCATGCATGTCAGCGCACCATGTACATGCCTGATACTGAGGCCAGAAGAGGGTGTTAGAGATGCCACATGGATGCTGAGGCCGAGGTTCTCTGGAAAGCAGCTAGTGCTCTCAACTACTGAGCCACCTCTCCAGCTCTCTATGATACATATATCATGATACATACACATAAACATTATATATGTGTATTTCAAGTAAAAAACAACTTTCAGGAAGTCGGTTCTCTGTACTATATGGGACCTGGGGAGTTGAACTGAGCTCATGAGGCTTGGGAACAAGTACCTTTACTTACTGAGTCATCTCCCTATCCTAACATTTTTTTTTTTTTTTTGAAACAAACCAGTTTTCATTTCTTTTAGGGTATTTTACAATTCGGTCAGTTCAAGAGTGTCTCTTCCAGAGCAGTCTATGAAGCATCTATTTTACTCAGAGTCTATGAGGTTTTCTGAGGCTGTTGGTGGGTCCTGCCAAACAAACAGGTATCCCAGGGATACCCAGTCACATCTCTCTTGACCCTCAAGGTCTGATTCTACTAACTGCTGCCAAACTGAACCCGACCTCCCACCCTGCAACAAAAACAAAACCTTAAAAAACAGCAACAAAATAATTTGACATGAGCCAGGCACAGACAGTGGTGCATGCCATTATCCCAGTATGCAGGAGGCAGAGACAGTTGGATCTCTTGTGAGTTAGAGACTAGCCTGATTCACAGTAAGTTCTTGGCTAGCCAAAGCTTCATAATGAGACCCAGTCTCAAAAAAAAAAAAAAAAAAGTTAGTGTGAATGTATGAATCTGTTAGAAAGTGCTGAACAGCTGAACAGTCCCCACAGGGCCTGCACTCTATGTGCAACCTTGACAAATCTCTCCATTTCTACCACTGAACAGACACGTTTGAGGACTTGGGTAAGCTCTCCTTCTGAAGATGCCGAAATTAATATGGAAGGAATGAGAGTCTTTCATTACTATTTTATGTGCATAAACGTTTGTCTACAAGTATGTCTGTATATCACATACTTGCCTGGTACCCTCAGAGGTCAGAAGAGGGTTACAGATATTTGTGAGTTGAGTGCTGGGAACTGAACCTGTATTATGAGACAGCAGCCAGTGCTCCTAACTTCCGAGCCACCTCTCTAGCCCCAGGGATGTAAAAAAAATTTTTTTTAAATTAAATTTTGTGTATATGAGTGTTTTGCCTAAACATACATTTTTCTGTGCACCACCATATATGTGACTGGTGCCTGTGGAGGCCAGAAGGAAGGCTCAGATTCCCTGGGAATAGATTATAGACAGCTTGTGAGCTGCCATGAACCTGTGGGCCTTGAACCTGGATCCTCTGCAAGAATAGCTGGTGCTCTTCCTCACTGAGCCATTACTCCAGCTCTCAAAAGTAAAATTCTTAACAGTAAAAATAAATTATATAAAAAGAACAGAATTTTAGTTATAGGGTATGTGTATATACAGTCTGTGGCTTCTAATGCTTGAGTCATCTACTAATTGTGAAACAGTGTAGACCAAAACATAAAAGGGAATAAAACCAGGCTGTGTGTGGTGGGGTCAGCCCTGTGGGAATGAGAAGCTGGGAGCTGATGAGGTCCAATACCTGCATACTGAGGACTGTCAGGTTGGTAAGTGCATCCAGGTTCTGAAGTTTTGTAATTTTGTTTTTCCCCAGAAACAAACTCTCCAAGTTGGTTAATGTGTCGATATTTTCAATTGCCTGTGAAACAGATGAAACATCAAGGTAAATGTTCTCTGCGGTCTGGAAACCTGTACCAAGGGAGGTGCCTAGACCAAGGCAGTCTAAGGCTTCGGCTCTGCGATGTCTGCACTCTGCGAAGTTTTCAATGAACTCTCTTGAATAAAAGGAGGGACACGATGACAACTGCAGACTGATTCCTGGGCTCACTTCCAACCCTCACACTTTCTTTTTTCCTGGGCTCACTCCCAACCCCACATGCTTTATCCCTTTCTCTTTTTCTTTTCTTTACTGAGACAGGGTTTCTCTGTGTAGCCTCTGGCTATTCTGGAACTTGCTCTGCAGACCAGAGATCACCTGCCTCTGCCTCCCAAGGCATGCGCCACCACCACCCCAACAACCCTCATGCTTTCAAAGAGCTCTGGGATTATTTGAAATCTCAGAAGCTAGCTGATTTTTCTAGCCCTTGTGGTACTTCATCCTACCTAGCCTTTGAGACTGTGCATTTCTCTTCCTGTGCTTTTTCTTGCTGCAGGCCCTAGCTTTTTCTAGCCCTAGCTTTGTACCCTTATGGTTCTTAGAGAACCAGTGTGGTACAGTACTTCCAAACACCAAATGAAGGGTACTCCGATCATGGGGTGGGCAGACACATCCATGTAAATACCTTCCTCAGCCACTAACCAACGAGGGTGAGGACAGGCACAGCACAATGACACAATGATGTTGAAATTAGGCTCAGCCTTATAACTTACTAATCCCACTTATCTGCCCATGGGAAAGCCTCCTTCCTCTGCCTGGAAGATCCTCTTCCAATATTGGCACCTATATGACCCTTTGAAGTTCCTCTGTCAGATACAAGGCACTTTTCCCTGTAGTTATAAGTCAAGTGGTAAAGAATTGGTTTTGTTGTACTGGGTGTGGGGGTACATGTCTTTAATCCTAGAACTGGGAGATCTCTGTGAGTTTCAGGCCAGTCTGGCCTACGTAGTCAGTAAGACCTTGTCTCAAAAAGACTTTGTTTCTGTGTTCTCCTACATCAGTTTTTGTTTTGATTTTTTTTAGTAACAAGGAGGGCCTATGGGAGGATGCTTGAATTTCACTCCAAAGGGGAAATACACTTATCTGAAGTAGATAGAGGGAGGGTACTGGATGGAAGAGAGGATGGAAGAGGATTGGGGGTGGGGATCAGGTGTGGGTAGAGTTAGGGGAGTGGGGAGGAGGAGGACTGGGAAAAAGGAAATCCGTGGGGAAGGGCATCTCTGGGATGGGGGAGGCTCTCAGGAGTCTACAGGGGGTGTTCCTAGCTGAGATTCCTAGCAGCAGGGGATAAGGAGCCTGAAGTTGACACCTCCTGTAGTCCGGTGGGACTTCCAGTGGAAGGAGGGGGACATCAACCCACCCATAAAACCATTGACCCAAAATTTGTCCTGACTTCAAGAAGTGTAGGGATAAAAATGGAGGAGAGATTGAAGGAATGGGTCAACCAAAGACTGGCCCAACTGGAGACTCAGTCTATGGGAGAAAGCCAATTCTTGACACTATTAATGATACTCTGCTATGGTTATAGACAGTAGCCTAGCATAATTGTCTTCTAAGAGCTTCCAGCCAGCAGCTGATGAAATCAGATGCAGAGACTCACAGCCAAACAACAGGCAGAGCTCTAGAAGACTTGTGGAAAAGTAGGAGGAAGGACTGAGGGAGCTGGAGGGGTCAAAGATACTTTAAGGAGTATATAGTCAACTGACCTGGGCCCATGAGGGTTCACAGAGATTGAACCAGCCCCTGCACATATTTAGCAGATGTGCAGTTGTTCTTCATGTGGTTCTCCTAACAATTAGAGTGGGGGCTGTCTCTGACTCTGTTGCCTGCCTTTGGATCCCTTTCCCCTAGCTGGGCCGCCTTGCCTGGCTTCAGTGGGATAGAATGCACTTAATACTGCTTCGATTTGATGTGTCAGTGTGGGCTGGTACCATGGGGAGGTGTGGGGAGTCCCCTTCCCTGAGAAGTGGGGGGGATGGGGAGTGAAAGTGGGGGGTTCAATCAGGTAGTAAAGTTATTAAATAATTAATCGGAAAAAAAGGCCTCTTGGGCAGTGGTGGCGCATGCCTTTAATCCCAGTACTTAGGAGGCCAAGGCAGGTAGATCTCTGAGTTCAAAGCCAGCTTGGTCTACAGAGTGAGTTCCTATAGCCAAGGCAATGCAGAGAAACCAAGTCTCAAACAAACAAACAAACAAACAAACATACAAACAAGCCAGTCTCTCATTTCCATTCTGATCTATGTTTTCAAGGTCAAATGGATATTGAACAATAAACCAAATCCTGCCAGAGGACATGTTTAGGGGATGAAGGGCCAGCCCAGTATTCCGGGGCATTTCAACAGCAAGATACTTGCTTATCACATGACAGATCACTGCAAGTGACCACCCTGGGAAACATCTTATATGCAGATGGAGGAAACCCACTATGAACAGGTTTAAAAAGAAAGCTTGGCTGCTTACTTTGTGGACAGGCTTGGCACAGGACTATGATATAGATGAAGAGCCAATGAAAGCTAACTACCAGACTAAACCAGTTGGTATGAGCATGGTTCTTATTAATACTGGCTTACAGTTAGCATTTTTCCTTAACAAATATTTCTCTGCTTCAAATAATATGAACATAAGAAAAACTCAGCCAAGTACACACTCTGTATATACCACTGAAGAGCCAGACAGCTCAGTGAGTTGTTCCCAAGACATAGTGTAACCTGTACCTACCCGGATCCGGTTAGATCCCAGCTCTAGCATTTGCAGTTGATGTAAGCTGCTTATATTCTCAATTTTATTGATTTTATTGTTGACCAAGAAGAGTTTTTTCAGCCGTGTCAGTTTGTCAATCCCTTCAATGTTCCTCAGCAGATTAAAAGAAATATCTAGAACCCTGGAAAGAAACAAAATATTTCTTGAATGAACAGACCGTGTAAGAGTTGGAATCCCACTTAGAGCGTATCTGCCTCCAAGGTATACAGAGATCTGACCATGCCCCCACCACTCATTGAGTGGCTCACCCTGGAGCTGTCCTATGTGATCATGGGGTTGCCTGGAACGTGGGAAGGCAGTAAAAGCAACTTGTAGGCTATAAACACTGTCTCCTATGGCCTTACTTAAGAGCAGAAACCAGGTGCCTGTGTCCAGGGCAGAAGCTAGTACCATGCCTTGTACAAATTCAACCTGAGCAGTGTTGGACAGCTGGGCATGGTGATGCATGTCTGGAAGGCCAGTACTATCGAGGTGGAGGCATGAGGATCAAAATTCAGGATCATCCTCAGCTACAGAGAATTCATCTGAGCCTGGGCTCCATGATATTCTATTCAAAAAACCAAAACAAAACCCAGTACCAACAAATGACCAAAGTCCAGCTAAGGCTGCAACTAGGTAAAGCTGACTCTTTTAAATGTTTTTTTTAAATGTTGCTGACACTTTTGCTTTAAAAAGGGATTATGGATTAAAGGTCCCCTCTCTCTAATTCTGACATCATTATTGAATGGAATCCAGCCAGATGCCCAGTTCCAGCCTTTGTTGGTATAATGTTCTTTTGGAATGTATACACCTTACCCTTGTTAATTCAAATTTGGATTTCTCTCCCCAACTATCTGGTTTCAATCCGAACATTGCATTGTGATACTTTTTCTAAGCATCACCTGTCTCAAGTTTGTGTAAACATGCCACCATTTGTTCTCTAATTTGTCAATTAAAACAACCAGCCACAATGTTGAGCAATGGGGAGGATAGGGTGGGACATCCTGGTTCAGAGTGGGAGGAGAGGAAGGAAGAAGAGCCAGAGGAGAGGAAGGAGTAGAAGGGAGAGGGGAGGAGCTGGAGGAGAGGAAGGGATAGGAAGGAGAAGAGGAGCAGAAGCGGGGACAGCAGAAGCTGGAGGAGAGGTCTTGGAACAACATGGAGAAATGAACCAGACCTAAGATATCACTAAAAGCAAGTATAATGAGTGAATCTGAATGGCAGGAACTATGTAGGCTTGGAGGTTTAGGATAGAGTAACTATTGCCCAGCATTGTGTTCTAGGTTAACTAAATAAATCCTAGTCTCTGTGTGGTGATTTGGTTATATAGCTGTTTAGGATTAACTACACCTTTACAAAAAGATATATTAATAGTAAATATTAAAAACCGAATACAACAAGCCTTCAATGCTAATGGCATGTATGAAGCTATTGCTCTCTCTTAGAGCCCTAGTATCAGCAGGACCTGGTACAGACCAGCCCCTGAAGCTTATGGCCAGGGTGGGTAGGTTCTGGGGAAACTGGCCACCCAACTTGTCCCATCTCTTCTAGGTCCCCATACTCACTCCAATTCTGTCAACGCTTCAAGATTCTCAATCTTCTTGATCTGATTATCATAGAGATCCAGTTCTCGAAGACTCTGTAGTTCCTCCAGGTTTTCAATACATTTAATTAAGTTTTGACGAAGGCAGAGTGACTGGAGGGCAGGAGGAGGATTGGCATTAGTAAAGCAACACAGGGCCACCTCTCAGGGGCTGTTTTATGTTGGCCTTCAGGAGGCAGGTGAGTTAAGGGTGAGAAGCTGGAATTAACCTCCTGTATTGAGGACAGGCATAGGCCTAAAGGGAAGCCAGGCTGACCCCATACTTGAACATAGCTGTCTGGGGAGGGAGGGACTGAATAAGGGCTTCTCCATGTGCCAGGACTTGGAGCCTTTACTAGGCTCCATTTTGAGAAGCAAACTTAACTGCAGTGAGACAGAAGACTCTGCAAGTGCTCACTGAGGCAGCCTCAGAACCCAGCCAGGCTTGAGCTACCCAAATGCAGGAAAACACCTGCCCCATTCATAACAGACATATGAAAATAATAGGCCAGTACCACCCACATGACAGGAACAAGAATTGTGTATATTCCCCAAGTAAATGTTACCAAGTCACCTTGTATGCAAGGACAGATCCCTCTCACCTTCACTTTCTTCAGCACCTCAAAACCTTCAATCTTTCCAATTCGATAATGATTCAGATCAACATCCTGAAACACAGAGGAATCATGCTCAGATCTGCCAGAGTTTTTGGAGACCTGGCCAGAAGCTGTTCAGGAGATTCTCAAGTGGGGAGCAGGGCAGATGATGTGATGCTAAGCAGATCCATTGTGACTGGCATATGACAGTGATAAAGACACAGGGAAGGTCACCAGGTTTAGCTTTTTGTTGTTGTTGTTGTTTAGCTATGATTTAGTGTATTAGTTTTACGTAAAACTAATCTAGTTGTCAGTCTGAATTAAATCCCTTAGCAACTGGACACAAACACACTTAAACATGCACACACAGAGTTTTCCATAAATGGGGGTTGTGAGGACCCCACCATCAACATGATCAATGGACTCAAGTAACTTGTGAGTCAAAAACATTTCATTTGGTTACACAGAAATAGATTTCAACCACTGGTATTAAAAATAGTTAAAATACATGAAACCAACCCAATCAAGGGAGGCTTAGATGTCACTAATTTGTCGACTTTATAAAAGATATGCTAACTAGGGCATGGTGGTACACTCCTCTAATCCCAGCACCCTGGGAGGCAGAGACAGGCAGATCTTTGTGAGTCTAGCCTGGTCTACAAAGTGAGTCCAGGAGAGCCAAGGCTACACAGAGAAACCCAGTCTTGAAAAAAAAAAAAAAGGCGGGAGAGGGAGAGGAAGATAAGCTAATGAGCCAGACATGATGGCACACACCTGTAATCCCAGCATTTGGGGAGGCAGAGTTAGGCGGATCTCTGTGAGTTCGCGGTGAGCCTGGTCTACAAAGTGAGTCCAGAACAGCCAAGGCTACAGAGAAACCCTGTCTTGAAAAATCTAAAAACCAAACAAAACCCCCAAAAATAAAAATAAAAAACAACAATCAAAAAACCCCCAAAAAAGAGAAAAAGGAAAAAACAAAAACAAAATAAAAAACTAATTTCCCCCTCACCAAAAAGAAAAAAAAAAAAAGATAAGCTAATGGTTAGGACCATCATCTGTAACCACGGCCCCTGAGGCTGGGCCAGGCAGGCAGCATTACCTCTGCATCTCCATCTAGGCTGATGGTTTCCATATCCACTGTCAGCTCATGTTCCTCTACAAAGAAAGAAAGAAGAAACAATTTTGTTTGTAAGAGTCAGTGGCGACAGGTCTTAATAAAGGGTTGCCCCTTTGCCCTAGGGCTAAAGAAGTTTTATAAAGCAGGGGACACTAGAGAGGAAAAGGGTGACAGCAAAATCTCCAAGTGTACATGCATGCTTCTGAACCTCTCACAAAAATCCCATGCAGCTTGATCTGGTGGGAAAGAGGAGAGCGACAGCTTGCCTGAGTCTTGGTGAACCTACTCAAGCCTCGTCACTGCTGGGAAGCATGTCCCCTTGGAGTCTGGGGAGTGTGCCAAGCAGCCTATCTACCCATTTATTCTTTCCCTTTTGTTTGGGGCAATAAATCAAGCCACTTGAATACAGATCATGTGGGGCATATTACATGTTCTGGGATGTGCCTTTTATTGCTTTGGAAAGTAGCCCAGCATCTACAGATACTTCTCTGAAAAGAGGGAAACAAAATGAAGCAGAGCTCAACAGACAGGCTCAAATTGCTTCATTAAATAATTTAAGTGTACGTCTCAACTGGAAGCCTGGTAAACTTGTTCCAGCAGAGAAGTCCATTTGGATTTCATGAGACTATCCACCCTTGAGAGCCAGCTATAAATTGCTCCCTGCTGCAGGGGAGAGCTTCATATGAACGGTTCCTTGTTTTAATTTCATTAGAACCTGATTAAGTATGATGTTGAAAGAACTATGACACATAGAAATGCAAATATGTGTGCACACATTCCCTATAATACTTTGAGGGTAACAGCATTTTTCCTACCATCAAAGTGTTACCCACTTTTCCCAGTGATCTTATAATTTCTTTCCTTAGTTTACACTAATTGATCCAAATAAAGCTATCTATTTTAATTGGATTCCTGCTCCCCCAATTACAACCCCCCATTTTAGATCAATTGTGTAGCGTAGGCTGGCCTTGAACTTTTGTATTTACTTATGCACATGGATGCTTTGTCTGCATGTATATCTCTCCATCACTTGCAAGGCCAGTAGAGGCCTGTAATTCCATTATCTCCCTGGAACTAGTCACAAGATGGTTGTGTGCCAACATGTGGAATTGAACTCATGTCCTCTGGACAAGCAGCCAGTGCTGTTAACCACTAAGTGTTAGGGTGATCTTTTTATGCACTGTGTAAAAACTGTCCTCATGTTATTCAAAGGTTGATTTTTGTACCCAGTTGATACAGCTGATATAGGCCAAACTTTGATATTGTTGTTTTTATGAAGCATCTCCTGCCTTAGTATTTTGTAAGCATTGTTCTCCATCACCTTTTGATTGCTTGAATAAAGAACTGAATGGCCTATAGCAAAGGCGGGAGAGAGAGGCAGGACTTCCAGGCAGAGATTGGAACTCTGGGAAAGAAGTATGTGCAGGAGAATTTGCCAGCCAGACATGAAGGAAGAAGCAAGTGCCAGAACTAGAGACTGCGAGGTAATGAACTATGTGTCAGAACAGAGATGAATATAAATGGGTTAATTTAAGTTATAAGAGCTAGTAGGGAACAAGAATGAGAAGGGCAAAAGCTATTATAAATAAATATAAGTCTCCATGTCATTATTCAGAGCTGGGGTGGGCACAGAAGTGCATACAGTTTTAAACTAAGCTATCCCTCTAGCCCTTGGCCTTGAATTTTTAATCCTGTTTCAGATTTTCAGATGCTGGATGACAGACATGTACCACTATACCTAGCTTCACAGATGGTGTTTCTCTTAAGACCCTTTCTATTTTGAAACTTTCTATAGGAAGGAGACTGCTTTTTTGAGTGCTTCTTTTGAGTCTAAACTCTTTGTTCTATCCCAGAATGCTCTCTTTCTTTTTCTCCTCCATTTCCTTGAACTTCTTATCACTGTTTACTATTTTTTCTAGGCCTTTCTTCTTCCTCTTTATTTTCCTTAGAGCAAACAAGTACTTGCATCTGCAGTGGAGCCAGTTCGTACATCCTTGACACGCCACACATCTTTACACATCAGCCCCTGTCTAGCTTCCCCAAACATTAGTAGACTATGTGCTGGTCAGCATGTTTCTTCATTGGAGGTCTCAGAGAGGATCATGCGGCAGGGGCCCAGCTTAACAAAGACAAATTGGCCCTACAAGCCTGAATTCACTTCACTGACTTTCCATGATGTCTTTTCTACAACAATCAACAGTATCCAATTAAAATGTTGTTTTTCTATAGTTTACCCATCATTTATTAGATACCAACACAATTGGATACCAACCAATCTGGTGTTAAATAAAAGGAACTAGACAAGACTAAGAAGACATTACAAGATCTCCTTGTCCTCAAAAGACAGCAGTAATTCACTGTCACGAGCTCAGGAAGCTGTGGCAGGAGACACATTACAACTCAGGCAAGGTAGCCAGGTCACTAGTGTCCAAGTCAGACATTGTAAAATTACAAGAAGTTGGAACTGGGCTACCCTAGGCTCCTCAGTCCACAGTCCAAAGTTCCCTTTGGGATGTTCCTGTCCCTACTTGAAATACTAGCTTAACCCAGAACAAGGTTACCAAGTGGAACTTACTTCCGAATGCCACAAAGTGGTATATTTTTTAGACTATAGGGCTGAAGACAGAGCTCAGCTACAGAGTACTTAAGGCTCTGGGTTCAATACCTAGTACTAAAAAAAAAAAAAAACAAAAACAACAACAACAAAAAAAAAACAAAAACAAAAACAAAAAGGAGTGGTGGCCAGGAAAGCTGGGAGATAGCTTAGTGAAGTGTTTGTAGAAGCACAGGACATGGGTTAGATCTCTGAGCACGGTGGTGCATTTGTAATCCTGGTACTTGAGAAGTCAAACCATACTGGCTTACTGCTGTCAGTCTAGCCTAAATGGCAATTTCCAGGAGAGTAAAAGACAAAGTAAACAGTGCCTAAGGAACAAACAATACCTGAGACTGTCTTCTAGCATCTACTAGCACACATACTCAAACATATGCCTGCACATACACACACTTCACAAGCGTGAACATGCACACATATACACACAAAGTTGAGAAATACAAGAAAGTAATAACTGACATGTTTGAATGTGTTTTGCTGAGACTTAGGTAAAAATAAGTAAGAACAGTTCTAGTTTCTCCAAGGACTAGAAATACATGTCCCCACAGAATTATTACATGTTCTAGTCATCTGGAGGTAAGAGTGTGGACTTTAAGCTGGGCTCTAGCCCAACTGGCCTGCTTTGCAGTAGGGATCTCTGGCTGGCATAGGGCTCTTTTCACCTAGCATACATTAGAGTCTTACAATGAATGACCCATCACAATCACATTGCTAGCCAGAACACAAAGCTCAGGACCATGCTGCTCTAACTTCCAAGTCTTGTAGGTTGCCTCCATTTCAGTGGCACAGATCTCAGCCCTTCGTAACTGCCAACAATGAGGACAGAGCCCATTTGCTTTATCCACCCACATCACCTCCAGATACCAGCTCTGAAGTTCTAAACTAACTGGCGGGTACTTTTGTGGTAATCTCCTTTTGCCTTAAAATTTGGTTACCATAGTTACCAATCATCTTTGCTGGCACACAGCGCACAATGCTATTTTAAAAAGTAGCTAGGTTTTTACAAATTTATTTTTATAAAGGTAATGCATAATTATGAATACCTGAAAAATCCACACAGATCTGGAAAAATGTAAGAGGCAGAATTTTCTCTCAAGCCTGCTGTTAAAAAGAGATTCTAAGCAATGCTAATGTATTTTCTTTTTAAGCAGGAAAAACTAAATACTCATTTTAAAACTAAAAAACATTTTAAAATGCATACTACTTAGAAATTTATATGCCCCCACAAACCTAACAATTCAGCTGGGACATTTTTCTGTGTTCATGTTTTCTTTCATTCTTTTCCATGTAAACTACATTTCTAAGCAAACACATAAGCATAGACTATTATTGAGGAGGGTCTAAAACTCCCACAGGAAGCTGTTCAGTTCCAAATGAAGGGATTATCCTAACATCTCTGCTTGTGATTAAGGTGATTCTCAGGCCTATATAAATGTTGAAATGGATGTAGGCATGGTAGTACATACCCTTAATCCTAGCATTCAGGAGGCAGAGGCAGGCAGATGTTAGTTCTAGGCCAGCCTTTTCTATATAATGGTTTGAAGACCAAGCAGGACTACACAGTGAGACCCTGTCTCAAAGAAAAGAAATGAGGTTGGATCAGAAGCAATTCCTCATCACTGTGGCAGGATATAGAAGCATAGCAGTCATCCACCATGTTCTCTTCAAAATTTGCTTTTTGAGTAAAGGATTAAAAAATCATTTTCTGTCTCTGTTCTAGGTGATACACTAATGCCAATACCATCAGTAGTACTACTGTCCTTTCAGCAGAAATGGACCCACTGTACTCATAAATGTAAATCAGTCATTTGCTGAGGCAGCACTCTAGAGAGCAGGCTGCCCTCTGCCAGCATGCCTACTTGCCCAGTCTCCTGAGGACATTTGAGGAACATAACTACTGCTGTGAGGAGACATTGTGTACAAAGAAGCAGCAGTCTTCAACAGAACCCTTCCCCCTATTTGGTGAGTCCAAGGTTAACTAAGCCTAGTACCTTCTGGGTCCTCTGCCCCTCGTGTTACTCCATCCTTCAGGCTTTGCTCACTGAGGTCTGTCACGATGCCAGCGCCGTGCTTCTTCCCTTCCTCATCACCTGATTCTTCAGATTCAACCCGCCTGTCAACTGAACCCACACACATCAGTGAGAATTCACTTCATGTGACAATTTGAGGAACATAGAAGAGATTAACACCAGTTGTAAGTAAGCAAGGCGTCTTTCTAAAATAGTTGAATTCAGTTTATGAACACTTGAATGTTTTCTACATCCAAACACTAAGTTATAGAGGCAGGAAACGGTAGACCACATAGACACAATGAACATGCTGTTCTTCTCCTCCAAGAGCTTGTAAAGAATTGTCAAGTGTTCTGAAACCTGGATCATCTGCAATCAGGAACACTAATGGCACCACTTAGTGAAGTACATTCCAGGCAGCGCTCACATTTGACCTTATGTCCACAAGAGGGAACCACTGTGACCCTTTTGTCACATACCTTCATTGATGTCTCACTATTCATTGGCCAAGATAACTGGCTCAATTTACAGGCCCACATTCTGAAAGAAATCAAGACTAGCTAAAATCAGACTGTGGGCAGGGAGGAGCTCTAATGAAAATGAGAATGTGTCAATAGTGCCAAATGCCCCAGGTAAACTGCTGATGTTAAATGATCACAGGACAGAGTGTTGGCAATGCAAAGCTTTTTGAGTAAATAAACAGATTCTGAATTATGAATAAAGCAACAATGAAATGTTGCTTTGGAAAATGATTTTTTCTAAACCACAATATTCATATCTGTAGAAAAGAGTTAGTGGAGCAATTACCCTTGTCAGGACTGAATGAGAAAGGGCACAAGAATGTCTCATGTGTACGACATGTAGGAGAATGTATTAAGCCAAGAAGCCCAGGATAGTCTGTGATCAAGGATTAGGGAAACTAGGTTCTGAACTATTACAGTCTGCACCTCCCTCAGGAGGAGCCAGAAGACTTAAGGGACAGTAGTTGTAACCTGTGCCTCTATCCTCAGGGTAGCAGAGAGGTTCTGGAGCCTGGGACAATGTGCAAGAATGTGACCATGTAGCTATGGGTATGATAAGCTAGTAAAAAGACAATGAAATCTGTTAAGAGGAGGAAAGTTTGAATTAAGGTATAACAGTGATAGAGAAGGTGTCAAAATATGGAGGTCACTGGGCATGGTGGCTCATGCCTTTAAATGCTAGCACTCTGGCAGATTGATGCGGGTGGATCTCTAAAGAGTTCTAGGTCAGCCTGGTCTACACTGCAAACTTCAGGACAGCCAAAGCTATATATTGACAGCCTACCCTAAAAAACAAAGCAAAACCAAACTAAGCCAAAAACAAACAACCCCCTCCCCAAACAAAACAACCAAACAACAACAACAACAAACCCTCTAAAAAGATGCAGGGCTGTAGAAACATAAATGTCAGCTGGTAATGACATGTGTGGGAGTGGAAGAGAGAAAAGCCTGGCTTTTGTATTTGCTCTTTACAGAGAAACAGAGAAAGAAGGGAGAGCGGTGCACTGTAGGAAGGAAGAGGAGGATGGGAAGAAGCATTTCCTTGCTTAGGAAAGATTCAAGAGTTAAAACAGGCTGAGTACACCTGTAATCCCAGTACTTGGGGAGGCAGAGGCACATGGATTAAGGCCAGCCTGGTCTACAAAGTGAGGCTAGGACAGCCAAGTACATAAAGAAACCTTGTCTCAAAGAACCAAAAACCAAACAATCAAACAAAAAAAACCCAAACCAATGGAACAAACAAAAAAACCCGACCTCTAGCTCTCCAAGAGCTTTTCTGAGCAGCCTTGCTGGCTCTTTCCAATCCCCACTGCATATGACTGCTAATTTAGGTCACTTTTCCATACTCCTCTGTTTTTGACTGGGTTTCCTTTCTCTGGCACGACACTGGTCCTCCCAACCCGTCCCAGTCTGGGTGACATCTAGTGATTTTTCAAGGCCCAATTCAGGGAAGCGTTCACCACTCTTGAAACTCACTGGTCTTTTCTTCCGCACCCCCATCCCTTGCTCTTCCCTAGGACTCTTCTCAGAGAAGTGAGTGACCTTCCAGAAGTGAGCAATTCTCATCGAAATAGGAGTCTTTCAAAGGAATTTAAGACTCACTTGAGGCTACAATGAGTAAGGTAAGTAAACACACACAGAGATATATGTATATCTATACACACACATATGTATATACAGAGTAAGTGCACACATACTATACATATAATATGTAAGCACACATGTAATATTTACGTAGCTACACAACTGTGGACAAAAGCTATATATTTATATATGCATATAACATAATCCAACAGAGTGAAAAAGGGAAGAAAGTTGAATTTAGTCCTTTTGAGACTTGAACCCCTAGAAAATAAGACACTGTCTTGTAAACCCAGTCTCTGGAGCGCCTTGTTACCCATCCCTCTGCCACAACCCATTCTCTTCCAGAGCAGACTCTTTTCCACCCACGCCGCGTGAACAAACTGTAGACTTTGCAGGTACCCACGCCTGAAGCCTCAGTTTCCCAATGAGCTTACAGAGGACTGTCCCCCGGCCCCTCGCCTGTCAATCTCGGAGCTTTAAGACTAGGTTCCTATAGCCGCGGCTTCCTCATCCGTCCCCAATCCCTGGGCGGGCTCGCGCCACGTTGTTCCTGGGGCTCTGGTTCTTCTGGCCGCTGCCGCCCCCGGGTCGGAGCTCCCGGACTCCGAGCCTCCCCCGCCCTGTCCAGCCCGTTTAGCAGCTGTCAGAGCTCCGTGGCTGTGGCCGGAGACTGGAGTCCGAGTTCCGATCCCGCCAGAGGCCGTGCCCGCCCAGCCCCCAGCTCGCCGCTTCCCGGTCGCCCGCAGGGGCCGCTCACCCTCCATCATCTCTTGCGACTGTTGCTGCCCCTCGCCGCGCTCCGCCGCCATATTGGCTGCTCTTCCCCTTTCCGGAATCTGTCGCCTCAGGCCATGGGCCAATCGGGACTTCAGACTCAGTCAACCAGCCAATGGAACCAAGCATAGAAGCGCGAGCTGACACGCTTGCGCGGACGCAGTGCTTCATGGGACTTGTAGTTCCAGCAGGCGCTCCAGCTCCCCCAACTCCAACTGAGTTAGGTGTTTGATCAATGAGTGGAGTCTGGGCGAGTACGGCGAAAGCGAACATCCCAGTAAGGTATTAGGCAGTATGGGAGATACTTCGAGCTTGCGGGTTCGCTCAAGTCACCGTGCCCACTTCGGAGGGACTGCGGCCAGGAGAGCTCTGCAGGCCACAGGTGAGGCAGGTTAGACTTGCATCCTCGCTGCTGTGTCTCTGCAGATGGGTCGGTAGGCCAGGGAGACCAGTTTGTTCTGGTTCCACGGGCCGCCTTCCGCGGATGCTGGAGGAAGGCGGGAGTGGGGGGCGCTGTCCGGCTCCGGGGCGCACGTTCGCCGCCTCTAGCCCACGGCGAACTCTACCGAGTCATCCGTTTCCGTTCACCGTCCTCACCTTGAAAATGTGGCCGTCGAAAGGCGGCCTGCGCATCGCTTACTGTCCTCGGTTCCGCTGTAGGAGTAAACTACAGTCGCTTGGTGTGGGGGTCGGGGGAGGAAAACGGAAAGACCGGCCTTTTTTTGGCTCCTTGGAGGCGCTGTAGGGGGAGTCCGACGCGTCCCTAGCAACCGTTTGCGCGCGCTCCGCCGCTCGCTTTCCCTGAGGCCCGCCTGTCGAGGTGTCTGGTTGGTTCCTGTCTCCTGTCACTCTGCGCAAGTCGTTCTGCGATTGGTCTGTGGGCTAGACGCGCGCGGATCTTCCCGTTGTGAATCCAGCACACGGTCGCCTGCCTCAGGTGAGACACCTGCGTTCGAAAGAGCTCCGGGTAGCGGCGAGGCTCACTCCCGCGTAGACGTGGAGGCGGCCTCGGCACTTGGCTCACGCGCCCGCACTCCCTCCGCCCGTCCCCGGCCTGGGGTGGTGGCGGGTTCCGGCCGTTTGACCCGCGCACTGGAGCCGCCAGCGCCCGAAAGTCCCCGACTGAACTAGCTTTCGTTTTATTAGACTAGCGGGCCAGTGAGCTCTGGGGACTCGCTTGTCTTAACCCCCTAATGCTGGGGTTGCAGGTATGTGCAGCCATGCCTGGCTTTTCATGTGGATAAAGATTTAAACTCAGGTCTTCATATTTGCATGGCAAGAGGTTGTTGTTTTGTGTGTGTATGTGTGTGTATTTTTCCCACAGAGACAGCTTTTCTCTCTGTGTAGCCCTGGCTGTCCTGGACTCACTCTGTACATCAGGCTGGCCTCGAACTCACAGAGATCCGCCTGCCTCTGCCTCCCAAGTGCTGAGATTAAAGGTGTGCGCCATCACACCCAACTATCGCTAGAGCTTTTAATACAAAGAGCCATCTTCCCCAGTTTCTGTATTACTTTTTCCTTATTTTTTTGGTGCATTGGTGTTTCGCCTGCATGAATGTCTGTGAAAGTGCCCAATTTCCTGGAATTGGAGCTACAGTCAGGTGCGAGCTGCCATATGGGCGCTGGGAATTGAACCCATATCCTCTGAAAGAACAGCCAGTGCTCTTAACTGCAGAGCCATCTCTCCAGCCTGCTTATGTATTTTATAGTAAAAATTGGTAGCATTGACAATTTAGTTTGATGTGGTATTTTTTTAATATATAAATTAAGATTTCATAACAATGTATTCTGAAGTTATACAACTTCTAAACGACGTCAGGTTTTATGACATTGGCAGTGTGTTTAGAAGCCACAGTTAAATGTCCTGAGCTTTGTTCAGAGTTTGGGTCTGGAAGTAGAGAACCGCAGAGTGATTGCACATTGTTTGCTGTAGCAGCATTTCGTGCGTTCGGATGCCGAGAGAAGATGTACACCTTTGACATTCATGCTGCTATTTGAAGGGAAGTCCTGTAGTCTGAAGACTTGTATCTCGTACACACCCTTTTGTTTGAGACAAGGTGGTGTCATATAGCCTTAGACACTATGTAGCTATTCATCTTTTATTTCATATTGAGCTTTTGCTTTTGAGGATCTCAAATCAAGCACATATGCCTATGTATATAACACAAAAAATAATGAAGGCAAATAGTCCTACATTATCAGTCAGTGTTGGAGGGTTTGGTGAACATGTGGCTAGCTTTGGGCTTAATTGTCACCCACCTCCACACAGAAATAACAGTTGTCAGGCTGATGGCTCCTTCCTGTCTTCCCAGTACTTCCAACACCTCTGGAAACCTTGCCTCAGAAAACAAAAGGAAACAAAGCCCTACACTTTGGGCCCAGCAATATGGCTCATTGGGGAAAGACACTTCCTGCCAAGGTCTGACAATTTGAATTTGATTCCTGGGACCCAAATGGTAGGAAGAGAGAACTGACAGCTGAAAACAGAAAATTGAAAGTTGTTTTCTGATCTCCACCAGGGTGCTCTCTCTCTCTCTCTTTCTCACACACACACACCCACACACACACCCACACAAACAAATGTAATAAAAATAAGTTTTAAAATCATGCATCATAATGAAAATAGCTGGGTGTGGTAGCACATGCCTTCAGTCCCAGCACTGAGAGAGGCAGAGACAGCCAAGGCTACACAGAGAAACCCTGTCTCAAAACAAAACAACTCCAAACAAACCAAAACAACAACAAAAAACCCAACATAATGAAAATAAAGTGAGGGCTGTAGAGATGGCTAGCAGTTATGAGCATTTACTGTTTTATAGAAGACCTGGGTTCAGTTCATGGCACATACATAGTGACTCAGCTGTCTATAATTACAGTTCCAGGGAATAGGATGCCTCTTTTGAGTTCTTTAGGCTCCTGAATGCACAATATATATACCCTGAATGGCTATAGATATACAGACACATATACATAAAAAGAATTTAAAAAATTAAAACAAACACATTTAAACCCACTACCTAATTAAGTAAGAGGCTGTTCTGTTTTTTTCTCCTAATGTTAGTGCTCTGCCAGATTCAAGGGAACTGTTTGCCTGAAGTATGGGTTTCCAGTCTTGTTGAAGTCTTATCCTATATGTCTATATTTTAAGCAGGGTATTGAATTTTTAAAAATATTATAAGAAAGGAATCTTGTTGTGCATAACCTTTTGTAACTGGAAGGTTTTTACAATCCTTATACTGCTAAAATTGGTTCTTGTACATAATTTCTTTGTTTTCACTGCTGTTTATACCAGAGCTTTCTTCTTGATGAGTATTTAAGTTTTATTTTCCTTTTGCCTGTTTGCCCTCTTTCCTTCCTTCCCTTCTCTCTACTTTTTGCCTACTTGCCTTTCTACCTGACTAGTTTGACAACCTTTACCATTGTCAACCATCCTGGCCTGGAATTGTCCTTGTGTATTTTGTTGTTTATGTGGAGTTCTCTAGATTAGTCTCTGCAGTGTAGCCTCTCAGGAAGGTGGCTTTTCTTCTCAGTTGGTTTGAAGATGGTAATTTTGAAAAACTTTGGGCCTATCTGTGTTTCACAGTCTTTGATTCTGAAATTACTAGGACATAATGGTTTTACAGAGTTGGGGCCACAGTAGCTCTCCTCTAGACTCCCTCTCCTGTTTTACGCGTTGTAGGATACCTTGCCTCTGATTTCAGTTCATGTCATATTTACCTTTTGGAAGTTCCCCTCCTTTCGTCTCAGAGATGTATAGAATGGCATTCTTGGTGAGTGCTCGTTATTATAAAATACATGGGTTGCTCAGACCTCATTCCTAGCCTTGGCTTTTTCTTTCTTTTTTTTTTTTTTTTGGGAGGATCAAAGTTCACTTTATTTGTATTCTAATTTTGTTATTATATATGCATAAGGTATGTATGTGTGTACATGTATATATGTAGAAGCACAAGGTGGGTTAGAGGACAACTTGAAGGCCTGTTATCTATTCAGTGTAGTTGTGCTGGGGGAGACCTCATGAATTTCCCATGTATGTCAGGCTTATATTTGTTGGTCTGCTTCTGAAATTGACTTTGTCCTGTTGTCCCTTTACTTACTTTGTGTAGCTTCATGGAATGTTGTGATGCCAGCATTTTGTTTTTTTCTATGTAAGGGGCCCTGCCTTGCTATGCTCAGGAGCTTTTGGCTAAGGCCCATAGATTTGTGAGTCTACCAGACACTGCATTGAGATCAACTAGTGACCAAGGTATAATCAAGTTCATGACTTGTTAATTATAACAGGTGCTTACAACTAATGGGCCTTGCCTGCTCCTGGCAGAGAATACTTTCTTTTTAGTGGCTGGCTGACTGTGAGTAGCCTTAAGCATGGGGAGCTAGGGTTGACATGCTTGCCAATCAGATGCATGGAGCCACTCACTATGGGAAGTCATTGGGACTGAGCACTTGGGTCAAAGCTGCAGGAACTCAGCATACACCCAGGAGGGTGGGTCAACACCTGTGATAGTAAGGTTAGTTTCCTAGTGACACTGTGTTGTAGCTCTAAAATGAAATTTGTTGTCACGCAGAAACTCAGTAAGGATGACAAGCTTCTTCTGTGTTTTTTTTTTCTTAATATCTGTATTTGAGTCTACACTTATGTCAAAATAAAGTGTTGGAAACAACACATGCGCTGACCTGACTTTTCTCTGAATATGGTCTTGCTTTTGTTGTATGCTCTGTGTGTGTGGCTGGTTCTTATGGCATCTGTAAAGACCTTGGCTTGGGAGCATTTCCGCACATGTGGACCCGCATTTCCTGCTTTCTCTTGTGGCCCCTCCTACTGCATTTTTAGAGTCTTTCTGACTTCCCTTCTTGTTTTCCCATGATTTTTGTGTATTTCTCTAAGAAAGCTTTGTGTGGCACAGACTTGACTTCACTGCACTCACTATAGGCCCTGATCCAGGATGCCAGGACTTAGGCTGGCTGGACTGCTTTTGTGTTCTGTACTGTAGATGTTAATTGCACACTGTTTTTCAGGTGGAGGCTGCTGGAGGCAGGTGTGTGGTGAA